AATTCTCCCCCGGTTATTTTTCCTCGCCCCTCGTCGACTGACGATGAATTTTCCTGACACTGCGCGTATATTTGTGTTGATTTTAAACAAGGGGTGGAAAAATGTCACTTTTTGCACACACTCTAATTCAATTTTTTACACAGCCAGAAGATGAATCGCTTCTACTTTGAGGGTTTTTCATGGCGCCCTCACTGTTTGCTGTGGGGTGAATTCATGTTAATTGTTGTGGTTCAAATTGACTTACATTTGCTGGGGCTTTTTATTAAGGACTCTCGAGACGATATAAAAAGGTAATTTGAGTGCTCTTATTTAGTGTCTAATTTTGCTTTAACGGACGGAGACACAAGCAAAAGAATCTGAGAAGATAAGGAAATTTCTCCTCAATTTTACCTCAAAATGCTCCGTGTCTTCAATTCCCGGGTTTATTTTAAGGATTTCAAGTGGATGCCAAATCCGAGCTCTTTTTCCTATGGCATTTTAGGGGACACTCCGTGGATACCGGCGAGAGTGATCCACGAATACATAGACATTACTTTATGTATGTCATCTCGCAACCCTTATAGAATTTCTCCGAGTGCGGGACAGAAGGAAACCCTCTCTTGTGCCATATATTTTTTCCTCCAGCTGCAGAATCAATCGAGAAATTCAATACATGTCAGACCGTCCCTCAGCAGAGAAAAGAGCTTTTGTGCCACCCGAAATACCAAAGGGAATTAATAATTTCGTCAAGCTCCTTGACGGGGGGTGTTTTTTATCACCTCCGCAAAAGGTGAGGGAAAGGTTAGTGGCGTCCATTGAGAGCATGCAATATAGCTTTGTCATACATGAACTTTGCGTTAACCTTTTTGGCGGGTCGATGATGCAGTTCTCTGTCCCAGCAGATGAATAATTTGGACTGGCGATGGGCCCTTTGGGATCACTATGACAAGATCCAATTTGCGCTGTCACACAGGAAAGCACTCGATACGTGTGAAATCACTGCGAAATTGCAATCTCCACGTTGCATGCTTTTTCTACCGTCAAACACTCCTGTTCACGGACTACAGCGGGCTCCGATTGAGGGCACATTTTTGTGGCCGCAGCAATTTGTCCGGCGACAATTGATTCGCCTGTAGCTCTAGAGGGATGAAATCGTCACTTGGTCACGCGCCAAATCACTCAGCACCGCTCTTCACGCCGTCTGGCCGACCGTCTCGACGCTCACAGTGAAACTGATGAGTGCCAGAGAAGAGATTCAGCATCGCACGAGGTCTTGGCGGCCGAAGCTTGCGCAGTGCCGCGAAAGCTCTCTTCCTGCCGAGAATCCCTCGCACCGGAATTGGGGCATGTTTGCGACACACACAAGAGGGTGGTGCGGTGTGGGTGTCGAAATTCACAATGCCACCTTGCCGCCCACACTCAAACGTCATAATTGGGGGTTCGCTGGAAGGGCACATGTATCACCCCCGAATCACACTTTGCAATTTAAGATTCACCCGGGAAAAAGTTGTAATCTGCCGGGCCTTTGATATGCAGCGTCTGTGCTGAATATTCGCGTGGAATATAAATTTGCATATTACAGCAATAATATCAAGATTTTTTCTCCTCTCCGCTGTGTGTAAATGCTCCACCCGCGCCTCATTGATTGTCGGTAACGCCGCAACTCCTGCCTCTCTTTTTTTTATATTGCAACCGAGACTCTCCCCCGGTGGTAATTTGCCACCCTGAGCGTGAAATATTCAACCTTTTCCACACAGCGTGGCGTAACAATTAAAATTATTTCACATTTTTCATCAGGACGTCCGTAATTGAATTCTTTGGGAGATTTTTCAGAACATTTTTGGCTCTGTGCGGGGAAAGTTGGAAAATTCACACTGGATGCTGGAGGTGAAAATAGAGATTATGATTTATACTCTTAATTCAAGTATATCTACATTACATAGCGTTTACATATGTGGGTAAAGAATACCCATCGATTTATTCGATATGGGAGTGTCTCTCGTGTTCTCAAAGGTGATTTAAGATTTGTTAGCTCGAGGCTGGAAAATGTAATCTCATATAACCCGATCACATCAGCGAAATCCTCTGTTCTTCGATTATATTTGCTAGACAGCAGACAAAAGCGCTCCAATCGTCCCTTTGGGAGCATTTCGCAATACAAGGAGCACTGGAAACTCTTGCAATTTCATTTGTCCCGCTTAAGTACACAAGAGCTCCAAACTCACCCCTAATTGACAGATGCAATCGATCTCTCTGGGTGAAAAAGAATGAAATGAGCAACTTCTGATCAGCTAAACTGGCGAAGTTTAATTTAAATTGCACGCTGGCGCCTCAAATCCGCCTCCCGAGCGGCAAGCCATCCATTGTGGCCAATGAGTTGCACAAGTAATGCTTGATGGGGAAAATAAAGAAAGCAGAGCCAGAAGTGGGTGGAATTTCAAAATTTTCACTCTCCGCCATGCGGACAAATCCCTCCGTTGCTCTGCATAAATCCGAGGGTCATCCTTTAATCTTCCCTCCGCTGTGATTCAGTGGAGCCAAATGGCAATAAAAGGTCACGTTTAATGACAGTATTTTGGACAATAACGTGTTATTTAATCGCACAGATTCGCTCTCTTACACTGTGCTGCTCTCGAAGGGGTGGAAGAACCGCTCTTAATTAAAAGTGTTGGAACAATTGTCGATTTTGTACCGATGTAACAATGGATTTTGGGGTGTGGGAATACCTGGTGCGGCTTCCCCACTCCCGATGGCGCCGGAAAAATCTCGGTACGAGAGATGTCTTAATGAAAATTTCATACATTAAACTTTGCAGAGAATTTGTGCTACTTTCGCGCTGTAATGAGTTCGGAGGGAGTCTCACTGCGCCACAAATTTAAATTGTGAATTAAGGAAGAAATTTCACGATAAAATCCTCGCCTTTTCGCGCACTTCTCCTGACCCAATTATGAAATTTATTGAAAAGAAAATCACTCTCTCTCTCTCAGCATCTTTTCCATTTCATGTGGGGTGAAATTTGTGTCGTTGGAGTCAACTGAAAGGGGATGATTTGAATTAGTTCTTTTGCCGGTGTCAATAACTTCTAGGTGGAAAAAATGGGAAAGGATTAATCAAATTGAGAAATATAAATTACTGACTTCAAATAAATCTTGAATAAAACACGAAAATGGCGTCATATATTTGTCTATTTGTTTCTTACAAGATAAGATGAGATAATACTGAAGATATCATATTATTAAGTTGTATTAGATTTTCTTTACATTTTAAAACTATTTGACGAGATTTGTAAAGTCGAAAACATCGGTTTAGAGAAGAATTTATTAACGCCTAGAAAAGGACAATATCTTTTCGCTAATTTCTAAATAAATCTCCCTAATTTCTGATTGTGAAATTACAGTATAAATCATGTATTTTCGCAGTAACAATATTTCGTGTAATTGCTTTAATAAATTTTTGCAAAATTGAGAAAACTCCCATCGCGCCGGAAGAACCGAATGGCTCCCCTGCCGTTTTGCGGGGATATGTAAAATATTGTCATGAGTGCAATTTATGGTGATTGCGGGGCTGGTGTGGCCCTTTTCGAATTTGATGCTCATTATTAAAATTACACCAGCGCCCCGGATGTTGTGTGTGGATTGTAACAAGGATGTGGTTGATAGCGATTAATTTCGATCGTAATACACTCTCTCTTGAGTCGCATTGGGGCCCCCGAGCAAACTTAATCCGCATTAGATGTTCTCACACCCTCACGACGCACTCCTCATTCTCTCTCTGTCTCTCAGACTATGGACGAAATCTCAGGGCGATTTTGATATATTATGTGTCTGTTTGCGTATGATGCGCACCCTCTCTATTCTCGTTCATTTTCATTTATCAGCTCGAAGGGTGACGGTTGTATTTGGGACGTTCTCGGCAGCGTATTATTGCCATGGCGTATTCAATCATAAATGAGGTATGCATTGTGATGGACTGGAAGGGTGCGGGTGGCGAAAACTCCCCCTCCAAACCACCCTCAACTTGTCTCAAATTCACTCACTCGGCTTGGCATTACAGCATGCCATCATTATTCATTTCAATTAGACAGAATGCGTGTACTAATTACAGATTTATTTAAATTTCACCATCGGGATTAATTCTGGGCACAATTTGATGGAATCAAGATTTCCAGCTGAAGGATTTCTCGCATGAAAATGAGTAATTTGTATGCTGGTGGGAAATTTATCCATTTTTCCCAAGTGTGCAGAATTAAAATGTTATTAAGATTTCAAGTGATGCTGAAGCAATTGAAATATCTTGTCTTACACCAATTACATCGCTAAATCCAAATGTATGCTATTCAAATTAACTCCAAAAAGCATGACTTGAGCCTATTATACAAAATTATGACGGTGTTACTGAAATCCCTTCATGAAAGGATGATTTCCGAGCGATTTTACACCCAAAAAGCATCAATAAGAAAATAAGGCGCGCATATTCAAATGAGATTTCGAGACAAACATTTCCAAGAAATATTATAATGAGGTTCAGTACCCTCATCAAGGGGTTAAGGCAGTACAACAGCATTAAAGTTACATGTGAAAAAGTCTATTTTCCTCCACGCAGTGAATATACCATCATTAAATGATAGGAACTGTCTATTAATACGCTGTAATCAGGAGAAACAAAAGCATTTCATGAAAATTTATGACAATCCATCCTTCCTGATAAATATTAATGCGCTTCCTTTCTAATTGTTTTCATAATCAATGAGAGGAATTGTGTGAGAGCTCTTCGCTTCCCCGAATGTAAAATGTTGACTTTCGCCCAGAGGAGAGATATAGAGTTTCATGTCCCTAATTTGCCCATTCGCCCACTGTTGAGGGTGAAATTGAGCAAGACAATTGATAGGGATGTGGAGAGAAAGGGAGGCTGTATTGATTTCCCCCTTTTCACCCATCACAGCCAGATGATCAGCAAAAATGCCCAGTGTTTGAGCAAGATATCAAGGGAAAATCAGGGCAAATCAAACTCATCAATTTATTATTCATTAACCAAATATGTATTTTATTATATAAAATTACTTTTGCTTTTTTTGTATAAAGAAAAACATCGTTGTAAGAGAAAATAATACAGCAATTGTGTTAGTGTCTCCCTTTGTTGAACCATTTAGCCATTAACTCCCTAGATGCCCTGCATGAAGCGCCTCAGCTCCTCCTCGGTGTCGAAGATCATGACCGGGAAGGGCGAGCCGGGCACCAGCTCCCCTGCCCACTTCACCTCCACGCGATAGTCGCCAGGTTCCGTTGGATCGTACTTGCACAGGATTGTGCGGTCCTTCTGGCTCTCGCGCTGCATTTCCACGCGGAAAGCTCCCTTCGGACCGCGTACGCGAACCGTCAGCTGTCCAGCTCCAGCGCCGCGAGTGTCGCAGATGAAGCGGCTCTGGAACGTGGCCAGGACACCGTGCTCGATGCCTGCAAAGGATACAGCGACACAATCGATTAGACTCTTGCGCGAAAAAGGAGAGGAAAACCTCTAGCAATTGCACACTCACCCGGACCATAGACGCGCACTTTGCTGGCATCGGGCGCCCCGGCTACACGAAGAGAGAACGGTGAGCCGGTGACGTGCTGCCCTCCATACTTAATCGTCAGAAGATGCCTTCCCGCCTCTTGAGGCTTCACGTTCAGCGTGAACGTGGCATCGCCGTGGTCGTACAGCTCGCAATATGCGACTTTCCGCGGACCCGTGCAGTGCGCCGTGAGTTCTCCAGGACCAGCACGGCGAGTGTCTATCCAGGACTTGATCTCGCGACCCACAACTCCATGTCTCAGTCCTTCGCCGGAACACAGGACCTTCGAAGCGTCCACCGAAGATCCCACAGCCACGCTCAGCGGACATCCCTTCACTATCCGTCCGTTCCAGCGCACGATGAGGTTCAGCGGTCCCTGCGAGGACCGCGTAGGTGTATAGGAAGCGTGCCACAGGGACTCATTGGGGCGCGGCTGATTGAGCGTCACCGGAACGACCACGTTGTCCTGGTACATGAGACTGATGTCCGGGCGACCAGGAGAGGCGGATGTGGCGTCGATTGTGAAGTGCGCCGGCTCGTTGGCTTGAGCCGCAGCCAAGCCGCGACCCGTCAAGACGACTTTGTCTGCAATTTGCTGCGTCGTGACGTAAGCATGTCGAGGACTCTGCGTCACAGGCACACCGTTGAAAGTCAGGTCGAAGATGTGTTCTCCTGTCGTCAAGCCATCAGCAGGGATGTGAATTCTGGACTTGTCATCCGACTGCTTGTCTACAACTGAGAGAAATAAGAGAAAGAAGTGTGTTAAAACACGTCTTTATGAGTCTCAACTCTGGAGACTACCTAGATCTCTGCCATCGACTGCGCACGAGAGCTCTCCTGGACCAGCTTGACTCGTGTCGAAGATGATCCTGGCGGGAAGAACGAGTCTCCCTTCGTTGTCCAGCAATTGTCCCCAGCCGCCCACCGGAACGACCTTGTTCGTGTCTATGCAAGCGATGGTCCAAGGCGATCCCGGAAGAGGTCCTTTGTTGGGACAACTCGCCCGGATCTCGTACAGTCCAACGGACAGGATTGTGTAGGAAATCCTCCACTCGTTGTTGCCCAGAGATTTGGTCTTGGGCTCGATTCGCTCGCCTTGCATGTCTGCGCGCTCCACGAGAACGTTCGGCGTCGTCGGGCAGTAGACGATGAAGGAGTTCTCCTTGCCGCGCTGCGCCACCTCGAGTCCGTTGCCCGACGCCCGCGCGTCGGACTTCGGTGATTGTCCGGCCGGGGAGACTGTGAAGGTCAGCGGAGTGCCGATCACGGGCTCCCCGCCGTAGAGGACGTTCACCTTGTACGGCCCGGCCATGCGCGGCGTGAAGTCGATCGAGTAGTTGCCATCTCGCTTCTGCATCACGTTCACGGGAAGATTGTGGTTGATGGGAGACACAGCAAAGACTTCCAGCTCCGCCAAGCCAGCGTCCATTTCGCTCACTGCAGAAAAAAAGACTCGTGTGAATGCCGAAGAGTGGACAAGGTGAGGAGTTACGGGGCTATTTTCACTTTGGCCAAAATGGCAAGTGGAAAGTGAATTGTTGGAGAGACTTTCACACGATTTTCTGCCTAAAATAATGGCAGGCAAAGAGTGAATTAATCTTACTGAGATTAATCGCATTCACCACGAAGATTTATCTATCTCTAATACACTTCGTAATCTTCGTAATGCGGTTACGCAAAGATATTCTTAAAGTATTTATAATTTATATGAAAATAATCGTTCTTTTTCGCGGCAACAAAGCAATGTCACGATGTTAATGCCACTCTTTTGACTCTTTTGGCACATCTTTTGTCTTTCTAGGCAATGCCATTTTCTTTCTTTGTGAAATTGCTGCAAGTGCTGAACATTTAAGTTTACATAATCACAGTGAAAACAGCTTTCAAACATCTATTAATTAAAAATGTAACTCACGTGTGAATGATACTTGATGGTGGACTTTGACCAGTCCTCTCGGGACGCTGTGCAGCGTGACTTTGGAGGGTTCGAAGGACTCACACGTGAACGGACTTCCTGGCAATGGCTTGGATTGATGAAGAACCTCTGCAAGGGATAAAGAATTAGTCACTCAGATCACGCCAAGAACGGATCGAGACTCACCAATCAAGCATTGTCCAACTTTGTGCGTTGTGAATTCCGCTTGAAGATGCCCACCCTTCGTCTGATAGCATCTCACGGGCAGCGCTTCTCTTCCCGGTCCCGAAACCACCACGTCGAACTCCCTCGCCGGCCGACCGACAGTGTCAATGGTGAAGGACGTGGTCTTGCCGACGCGCGCCTGATACAGTCCCATTCCGTGCACACTCGTCTCCTTCGCGTATCCCGGCGGCAGGACCGTGATTTCCAGCGGTTTTGCCGAAATCGGGACGCCGTTGTACATGATGTTGATCTTGTGCGGCGCTACTCTGTTAGGATGGTAGACAATCTCCCAGATGCCGAGCTTCGAGGGTCCTCGGATTGAGTGCGGCACTTCAATGGCACCGCAGCGAACCAGGGCAGTCAGCGTTCCCTGGCCGGCGTCGTAGATCGACACGCCAATGGATGCCGGCCTGTGGCAGAAAGCCTCGCCAACCTCGACGATCTTCACGAGACTCGGGTCAAAGACATTAACAGTGCGCGTTCCAACAATTGATCGGGACTCTCTGTCTATGATATTGACCGTGTACGTGCCGACAGTGTGCGTGCGGAACTCCCCAAAAGCGCCGCCGACAATTGAGTAAGACACGTGCTTCCGATCGGGCGTTGTGATCTCCAGCAGTTGATCCTCCGCAGAAAGCTCAACTGTTGCCACACCGCCGACTTGGCAGTGCTGAATGTTCTGCTGCACCTCGACGTGGAAGGGACTTCCCTCGACTGGGACATCATTGAAGGTGATGTTGACGAAGTGTGGCTCGTTGGTTTGCGGAATGAAGGTCACATCGTAGAGTCCTCGCGCGCACGCCACGACTTCCGCCTTCACGGTGCTGGTCGCTGTGGACACCACCAACTCCAGTGTCCCTTCTCCTGCCCCTGCAGCGTCCACGCTGAACGTCACAGGTGCCCCCAAGGCGGCCGGGCCGCTGTGCTGCTCGAGGCCGCTGATGGAGACGCGAGAGACGTCGAAGACGTTGCACGAGTACGGAGATCCGTTGATGTGCTGGTCATTGACCGTCACGCTGATCAAGTGGCGTCCGACGGAAGTGGGCCGGAAAGTCGCCAAGTGAACGTGATCGCGCGCCACAATGCGACACGGCACATTATCTCCCGATGGCGACGTGACGAGAACCTGCGGTTCAACTTCTTCGAAGCCCTCCAGCTGAATTGTGTTGTCCATCTTCACCGCCGCCTGCTTCAGGCACTCACCCTTGGCCAGCGCCTTGATGGGCGACGTGGGCGTCGCGGTGATGGGACAGGAGAAAGGCGAACCCGGCACTGCGTGTCCATTGAAACGAACAGAGAGAAGGTGCGGGGCCGCCTCGATTGGCTTGAAGTTCACCTTGAAGCGAGCATTGCCTTCGGACTGGACAAAATTGGGCACATTCTTGCCATTCACCGCCACGATTATCTCCAAATTGCCCGCGCCAGCTTGGCTAGCGTTAATCCCAAAACTCACGCTTTTGCCCACAACTCCCGGACGAATGTCCGTCACGATGACCTTCTCGGCCGAGTAGGCCTTTAGGAGGAACGGACTTCCCTCAACGTGGCCCGATTGCGGCAGTCGCACTTCCACCGAGTGATCGCCAACGTCCTGCGGCTCGAACTCCACGCTGAAGCCACCAGCTATTGGCAGGACTTTAGTCGGGACGTTCCTCCTGGCCGGGCCCAAGACCTCAACTTGGGGTGCAATGTCGGATTCTACGTTGAAGAGGAAGATGCGTCCAACGCTGACCTTGTCCACAGTGTCCGGAGCAATTCGCGCCGCGGCGGATATCTTGCAATTGAAGGGACTTCCGGGAACGTTCTGCCCATTGAAGCGGAGTTCGACTGTGTGATTCTGCGCCTCGCGAGGAGTGAAGCTGATGGCGTAGGTGTGCTGACCCTGAGCCTGAGCCGATGTCGGCACTCTTCCGCCGTTAACGGTCACTTCGAGATTGCCCGGCCCAGCTTGGGAAGTCTCCACCAGGAAGGTGACAGGCTTCCCAACTGTGCCGCTGCTCACATTCTTCACCTTAATCGCATTGACATCGTACACCTGAAAGCACAGGTCGGTATTAGATTAGGTCTAGAGTTGTTGAGAAAGAGTACTTTACCTTTGCCGAGTAAGGGCTGCCGGCGGTAGGCTGTCCCATGACAGACACATTGACCCGGTGTTCACCGACTGAGCGTGGAACGAACTCCGCCTTGAACATGCCGTCGGACGTGAGGTGAACCTGGGCCGGTACGGATTGCCCCAAAGGACCTGGGAAGAAGTAGGCGCCAATGTGGAGTGAGTAGGAGTCACTTCAGAGTCGTGTTCAACAGTTAGAGACAAGGCGCAAAGCTCCGCGGGTTTAACAGAGGCGCACACACACGCTCACACTTTAAGATTATGCGTTATGGAGAGACATTCATTCCTAGGAACTTTGGCGTTGCATCAGCGCAGAGATCTTGAGTTTTGAATTGTTCGCCACTGGGATGATACAACGCCAACACTGAAAGCGCATTCTCGAAAGCGCAAGCCCTCCTACGCCAAACCACCTCTTTTGCATTCAGTGTTAGACTGGGATTAAGATGTCGTGACACAAATACTTGAGTAAGTAGGATTAGTAGCAAGGTTGAGAGACTTGTCATGCGATTTAATGGGAATGTTTCGAAACATTTTTAAATAATAAATAAATGCTTTGTGAGTAAACAACCGAGTTAATGAGTGATTAGTGTGAACAAGTGTCCGAAAGTCTAGTACAAAAGTCTTCGTCGCCCTGAAACATACAGATATGGACAGATGTGAGATTTCCAGTCGAGGGCCATCCTTGAGAGGAAGTGTATAGGCTCAAAACACGCGTAACGGTTTTGTCTTGACCTATTATTAAAGTTACACCCTAATTTGAAGAAAAAAATTGCTTGCTTGGCAATAGAATTTGCAGGAAGTTTTGGAAGAAACTAAGAGGATCGTGCAGAAAATGTATTTACACACACATTTCTGGAAGACACCGGACAAGATCACAGGTGGACATCATCATTCTGATACACTAACCTTCCACATTAACTTCAATGTCCTCGAGGCGCCCGCCCTCGTGATTGATCACGAGTGAGTTGGGCTGATGGATGGGTCCGGGTCCGCCGAGGGACACTTGTGGCCCGGTGGCGCCGCCGCTCACGGCCACGGAGATGGGACAGCCTGGCACGGGCATCTTGTTGAAGGAGACGTTGATGATGTGCTCGCACGCCTCGGCCGGAATGAAGGACACGGCGAACCTTGCGTTGCCCTGCGGGTGCACTTGGGTGGGAATGTTGTGCCCCTTGGCGGAGATTGTGATCTCCAGATTTCCCTCGCCCGCCTCGCCGGCGTCCACCGTGAACTGTACGACGCGCCCAACGGTGCCTTTCGTCACGGCGCCCACGGACACGCGGCTGGCGTCGTAGGACTTGGCCACGAACGGCGTGCCCTGCACCGGGTATCCGTTGTACTCCACATTTATCGTGTGCGCTCCCACGGCGACCGGCGTGAACTCAGCCGTGAAGCCAGCATTGATGTCTCCCACCACGCGCACGGGCAGCTCTCCGTGCGGCCCGCGGACGCTCACTGCTAGCTCAGCGGCTCCGCCGCCAGTCACTGTGATGTGGAATGTCGCCGGACGGTGGAGAGCTATTAGTTCCAGATTGCTAAGGTTCAGGAGGACGCGGCTGGTGTCCGCCACGGCGCAGACGAACGGACACCCCCTGACCGTCTCCCCATTGAACTTGATGTCAATGAAGTGCGTCTTGGCCTGCTCTGGCGTGAACGACACCAGGCATCTTCCGCCGCCGACCACTTGCACGTGATTCGGCACTTCGCCCTCGTTGATGGAAATCTCCAGCTGACCCTCGCCAGCTGCACTCGCATCCACACGGAATTGAATCTTCTGACCCACAACGCCACCGTTGACGTCGGTGACCTGGATCAGGCTCGAGTCGTACACTTTTGCAATTAGGGGGCCGCCAATGATCTTGGAGCCGCCAATTGACGCCTCGATGATGTGCGTACCGACTTCAGTGGGGACGAACTCGATACGCATGGCACCATTTGCCGCCTCGTGGGTGATTCTAGCCGGCACTTTGCTCTTGCTGGGCGAAAGCACGTTGGCTACACACTCCCCTCGCGTGAGGGTTGTTCCAGGAGGCGGCAGTATCTCAAAAACCGCCGGCGTGTTGGCTGGTACGAGGCGGGTGCTCTCACCCAAGGGCGTTAATCCAGGCGACGACATGATTTCTACGTGCCACGGCGATCCTGTGCGGAAGGAAGAGTGAAATTGATTAGAACCTGTTTTCATTATGAGCTGAAATTGAACAAGATGAAGGCGAGTTGTGCGCTGTAAGAATTGAATTTTAACGACGCAGCAAAGATTCTGCAGAAAAATGTTGCTCTACTCCACTATAAATGTCAATCCGCTATTTTTTCACTAAGATAAATCAGTTTTAAAGCACAACAAATGATTAATTTCTCAGCGATACCGCCGAATTACTTCTTAATGAAGCTGCAGATAAATCTCATACTGTAATCATACTCATAAAGCTATAAATCTCATTTCTAAGCATCACAAATTGATGTGAAGATTTCTAGAGCTTGAGAATTTTAAATGCTTCTGGTCTTTGTTTATCCCAAAATTGCCTCTTCTGCACTTTTCGGAATGGTGCGCGTTGGAGAAAGTGTATTAGAATAATTGATGCTTTGAATTTTTTTCAGAGATTTCTTTGTGGAATTCCAAATTAACTGTTTACATAAGAATTAGCATCGCACAATTCCAGAGCCCCACTTCGCTATTTGCCCGAAAAATTAAGCATCTCAGGAGTGAAAGAAGCGATTCTCTGTTATCTAAGAAAGCTCTCAACATGGATCTGAAGCATCTTCACGCCTTATTCACACTTCTCTTGCTCTACCACACAATTTTAATAACCATATGTTCGAGTTATTTGTGTCGTGTGCTGTTCAAGTCATGCAATTCATCATGGAATCACTTTTAGCGGAGAGAAAAACTCATTCATTTATGGAAGACCATCGCAAAGATGCACATTTTGCGCTCATCTCTGCCCTAAACTTTCTCCAAAGCGGCGCAAGAGTGAAAAAAAGGCGTCGATACATTTAATCGCCCCTCCCGTTTAAGGTAAACCCGATGGTAAATTGCAGAAGAGTGTACAGTGTTCAATATCAGGTGTAAATATTTATACATGACTTATAAGCGCCTTGCATGATGGAAGAAGAAATTTTTTTTTTCGTGAAAAACGACTCAATTTGTCCGGCGACACTCAACTGTTTTCTTCATTACTTGTGCTCTCAGTTTCACCGTAAAAATGTAGATAATTTTAGCTTATTTTTCTCTGGCCTTTGTGAAATAATGCTCAAATTGCTCTTACTCGTCATCTCTAAATCACTCTCTCATCTGTAATCAACACTTTCGAAGTGTACTTCCTTGGTTTCACGATTTACGTAAAGAATTCTCATGGGAAATTTCTGCTTTTCTCTCAATGAAACGAGCAAAATTTACATGTCTTATTGTTGAATTCTGTTAAGCCAGACAAAACCAGTTTATAGGTCAGTTAATGCGCTGTTTTCCAAGAAACTCAAATACTTGAGAATCCTCCCGAGAGTCAATGGCACGGAGAGATAAATTTGCCGCTCTGAAATCAGAATCTCAGGAATTTCTGCTTAATGGATTTCCAGTGAAAAATCGCCTAACAGTTTCTCTCACAGAAAATCCCTCCAGAGTCATTTTATTCACTGCACCTCTTCTAATATCAACTTTGATAGCTATCATAAATCGCAATTTAATCGATTGGAACGTGAATATTGTCACATTTCTTCTACAGTCTCTCTTTCTTTTCTTCCCCATCAAATTCACAGCGCGAAAGCCTTTCATATGCAAATTCCTTCGATGGATTTAAGGATGATTTACAGATGATTTCTGGCATTTTTTCACATGATTGAAGAATGTCCATCAATTCCTCCGCGAATGGCGGAAAAAAACACCTGGAAGAGGCTCTTTCAAGCATATGAAGATTGATACCCTGTGGATTCGTTACTCTTCACATAACGGTAAAGAGACTTTTTGTGTGGGTTGCTTCTGATTGTTGGTCTTGTAGAAAACAAGAGGAAAACAGACTCGAAAAGCGGCGAAAGAATATTTATTAAGATAGTTTTCATGATGTTTCCACCCTTCAAAACACATTTCAAGTCCCAATTAGTTATTCAAATGAGGAAATGAATTATAATTTCCAATGAGAAACCATATTTTGTGGTGCAAAATCAACTAACAATTTCCTCTTTCGTGGCGGATTTCATGATTGCAAACAATGTCTCTGCAATGCGCGAAATTTGCCATTTCGATGCAAAAGCGTTAAAATACCATCTCTTCCAAATGCCTTATCTCCGCGCACAGAATGGAATTTCAAATGCGGCGCGTAATTGAGTGGAGAGAAAAAATGAAGCAAAAAGTGAATGAAATGAGGTAGTAAAAGCATAACAAATTCACAGTCTTGAATATTCAGACAAAATGATTGGAAGATCGCGAATCTTTGGGCGTCTGCAAATGGGTCATGCTGCTTTTAGAGCGACGGATCGTGACATGATTCCACGGAGGAGAGATCATCTCTTGGGAATGGCGAATTCCATTTTCAGCGCGACTTTGGCGGCGTGATAAATCGCTGTGGTATGCAAAGTGGGCGAATTCTATGGAGAGCTTTTGGGAGTGGGATTTCCTTTCGAAATAGCACGGCCAAGAATCGCATTTTTCTGCAGTCTCTGCGCGCTCGCTGCGTATTACAAATTTCAAAAAATCAAACAGTCTTGCACCTCATCTTCATCATGATGAGAAATATGGAAAAATTTCTCTTCCGACACGGTGAGATATCACAATGATCTCCACATTGAATGGCTCGCCGTCGAGAGATCACCAAATACGAGTCTCTGTGGTGTAGAGAAACAAGATGTACCTGATTTCTTCGACTGTCTCCTCTGCCAACTTTTCCCCTTGAGAATTCCAACGAGGCGCGGCACTCACAAGTCAATGAATTCTGCCCCTGTGCCCTCACTTCACGTCTATTTCCGAAAGCAATCACCCCGCGCGCCTGGAATGTGTGTCTGAGGTCACGAATCACCACCGAAACTCTGCTCGTCTTTGGGCGCACTTTCAACAGATGTGCAAGTGGACAAGGCGAACTGCGCGGCGACTCTTTTCTATCCCAGGAAGGAGTCTTTTAACCAGAGATTAGCCCTAATTAACGGAACATGTCACGTCATCTTCAATTGCACAAAATGGCGGTGAATTGAGAAGAGCTCGCGATCCGCGGACGTATCTCTCCAGTGGCGAACAATTCAAAACTGAAGGAGAAACCACGGACAGCACAATCTGCCTCTCGAACATCCCACAAACACACGCGCTCTTCCCTCACCCCTGCCCAAGAGCGAGCGAGAAGACACGAGCCGCTCAGGTAAGACGTGAACACCTGAGGAATGCTGTGCTGTCTTGTGTTGGTGTGCCTCGCGAGAAGGGGAAAGCCACATCTTACCTGTCGGACAGACACTCACCTGGCACGGTTTCACCATTGAATGTGATCTGCACCTTGTGCACGCCCGTCTCGTGCGGCGTGAAGCTCGCCACGAATCTCTGGCCGCCCAGAGCACGCACGGAAGACGTCACTCTGCCACCATTCACGAGAATCTCCAGATTTCCACTGCCAGCGCGCGATCCGTCAACTGTGCAGAGAGAAAGACTTCAATTAGACATTAAGCGACGAAGAGGCTTCCCATGAAAGTAGCCACAAATTCATAGGATTCCAAAACGCAGGTTGATTAACTCTCTGAGGCTCGCATGGAGGAATGTTGTCGTTTATGGCGAGCAATCGTTCAATTTTGATGGGAATTGCAAGTGATACAATAGGTTAAAATGTTTGCGAAACAATTATATTGCTCAATAAACGCCATAGGCAATTAATCGCTTGGATGGTTAATGCTTTCCGAGGAATCCTCAGGAAGTGATTACCGTATCGTTTAGCAATGTTTTGCCAAGCACTTTTATTGGGTTTGGAGGAAAGCGCGGGAAATCTATAAAGGTGAATTGTTGCGTGCTTTGCAAGAAGAATTTTAATTTAACATGTTATTTCGACATTCTGTCTTGGTGAAAAATGCCATGTACACTGATCCTATCGCATAACAGTCCTTTCTTTGAGCTGCCTGAGTGTTAGCGGATTAAGATCTAATAAAGTAACATTTTACTCACTTTCAAATTCAACTGGTCGTCCTAGAATGCCATTCGGGATGTTCTGCACGAAGATCGCTCTGGCGCCTGTGACGTCCTTGTCGATGGGCAGGAATCTGCTGGGCGAAGAGTACCCAAATCCGCTGCTCTCCGACGTCACGACTCGCTCACTGGTCTCCTTGACGGTGCTGGTGGAGTAGTGCGACGTCGGGTTGGGACTGGAGCTGAATCTGCCCTCGTGCAGAGCGAACTTGTTGAACTGCGTGTTTCTCTCGGTTTCGTGGTCAATGTCGCGTGGGCGAGTGTAGCTGATGTCCGTGTTGAGTTGGCTTTCCGTCATATTGGCCAGAGATTCCAGGGAATTGTGCGAGAGGATGTGCTTGGTCTTGTTGATGGCGTCCCAGCTGTCTCTCCTGGCAGCGCCGTTCTTGGTCGCCGACACTCGTATGTTGGACGAGTGATCGACACCAAAGGGATTCGGCGAGCCGCTGGTGTGTCTTGTGGGCGAGAGTAGTGGACTGGAGCGCACATTTTCACTGGATGACACATAGGAAGACTTGTAGCTTGAGCTCTGCTGCTTGACTAGCCGGGATGAGTCCAAAGGACTGGGAACGGGGCTCGAGATTCTGTTGATTGAGGTCGTGATATAGCTGGGAGAGGCGGATTGCCGGATTGGCGGCGGCGACACTGAAGTCAATCGGGGACTGGACGTGACATTCCTGGTTGTGGATTCGTATCTGGTTGTGGTTGTCACTGTGACTGGACTGCTTCTCACCGCGGAATTGCCGCGAACGGTGACAGGACTGGATACTGGACTACTATAGGACTCTCCTCGCCTGCTGACGGAGTTGGCCTTGGAGTTCTCGGAGAAGAGCTTGGAAGTGTAGGAGGCAGTGTAGGGATCCACATCGTCTCGGCTGGGAGTCCTGCGATAGTCGCTGTTCAGGTAGAATTCCTGGCTGGGTGAGGATCTCTCGACGTGCTTCCGGGATTCTGACTTGTAGCTCGAAGAGTAGACTTCATTGCCGAAGCTTTTGCTGGGCGACGGAGACTTCGGGGAGAATTGCGGAGAGTACGATCGCCGGGCAGTTGAAGTGGTGCTCGTGTAGTGCACTGAGGGACTCTCGGATCGCAGCTTCTCATTGTGCGATCCGGATCTAGTCTTCCCAGAGCGACCTTTTGTGCCCACGCGCATGATGTACGGCGATCCCTTGACGTCGTAGCCGTTGAAGTACACGTAAACGCGGTACTTGCCATTCTGCCTAGGCATGAAGGTCACTCTGTACTTGTTCTCGACCAGCTTCTCCACTGAGCACACAAGTGAGTGCTTCTCGTGTACGATGTCCACGAAGAGCTCCCCGGACACACCGACCCCTCTGGCGTCCACCTCGAACGAGTGCGCCCTGTTGGGTAGCGCCCCGTCCAGTCCGTGCACGGAGACGCCGCTGGGGTCGAATACGGCACAGGTGAAGGGCCCGCCCTGGATGTGGCGGCCCTGGTACGTGATGGCGATCTCCCAGATCCCGGCCTCGTCCGGCTTGAATATGGCACTGTGTCCCTCGTCCACCTTCTTCAGCGGGCAGCGCAGCGCCCTGGCCGTGGGACTGTACGCCGTCACGAGGATGTCCTCGGACTTGGGCGCTCCAGTAGCGTTCACAAGCACCTCCACGAGACTGCCCAGGGCGCACGGCGCCATTCCCGGCGGTGCCACTTGCAGGAAGCGCGGCAGGACGCGAAAGAAGTGACCGCCGAGTCTGAAAGAAACGCCCAGTGAATGTTGGATTTCTCTGATTTCTATCATTTTACAAATTAATTCATATGAATTGCATTCGATCATGTACAGATAATTGTGTGTGAAATTGGCGCCTTCGCTTTCGCATAAGAAATCTTATCATGTTTAATGCTAATCCAAAAATGCATAACATTATTGGCAAATCGCGCCTTCTTTTGCATTAGAAAAGTAGATCAAATTACCTTCCATCGTCCACTTCCACGACTATCTCGTGCATGCCATATTTGTCGGGCACGAAGGTGCCCTGCCCACGTGAGTTCAGCCTCACGAACTGCGGACTCTTCTCGTGCGGCGGCAGCACAAAGGCGCGCACGCTGCTGATCTCAATGTCGCGCGTTAGCACTTCCACCCTGAAGTGCGTGGGCTCTCCGACGCGTCCCGACGTGCTCTCCAGGTGCACGGCAAGGAGATTGGAGAGCGGCGGCCGAGGTGGCACCCACTGAAGGTGCGCCGCGTACGCCATGATGCCCAGATGTTCCACCTCCGGATTCGCCATGTCTTTGGGACTCAGCACTGGACGAACGCCCAGCTTCTCTCCGGCGTCCACCGCTTTCTTGATGTTCGACTCCCAGTGCGTCGGATCCAGCCTGAGCTTGTCCGGGTCCGGAGCTGGACCGCCCAAGCCCTTGATGATCTCCGAAAACACCCTGCCATCGTTCCAATCCGTCTGCAGAAGAAAGACGCGCAAACATTAATTTCACTGCAATCCATCACAGTCAGACAGTCGTGTGATAATGAAACCTCAGCCCATCTTATCGCTGAACCCCATTGAAGCGCTCGGCCAAGTATGTTTGCCATTGAAGCGTTTCATAATGAAATTGAAAATGTCACATTTCACTGTAAATAATTCATTGGCGAGTGGAAAAAAGTTTCCAGCGCGGCCATAGAAAAGTTCAGCGGCAATGGGAAGCCCGAAGCTCTATGCAAATGAATAGAGTGGAAAGTTATGAAAATATTTGCTCTCTGCTGGGCCACAGCGAAGGCGAGCGATTGTGGGACTTCTTTTCGATGGACTTGACATGCCTGGCAAATCAATCAATCAATGCGGGACACTTGCCAAAGAGTAGCTGGGAAGAGGAGGCATTCTATGGAAATGCGAATGGGAATAAAACATGAGATTCGGACTCACCGTGAAGTTGGCCACTGGACGCTGGACCTGAGTGTTGACCCAGCGCATCGTGGCGTTATATCCTGGCCCACCGGGCTTCATGAAGTACGACAGGTAAGTCATGCCGGACAGCTCGTCCAGCCATGGCGACGCCAGATACTCAGGCTCCAACACTTTCGGGATGCCGAACTCTCGCTGCGCGATGTTCATGGCGTTCGTGCAGTTCCTGATGGATTGACTAGGATCGAGGCTGCGCCAGTGCGGGAACAGCCCAGGCTCGCAGTAATCGAGCAGCGCGGACAGGAACACGCCGCTATTCCAGTCCGTCGTGAGATTCGTGATCTTGCACTCCGGCAACGCGGCCTGCAGCCATGCCAGCATCAGCTTCCGAGGCGGGAATTTGCTCCTGCCGATTTGGTAGCGCACAATCAGGGACCAAATGAGGCCCAGGATGAGCTTCACGTTCCCATTCACAATATCCACATTGCCGATGTTGACCAGCTTCACGCCGTCCTTCTCAATGGCGTTCAGGGCATTGGTGACATTCTCCAGAAAGTGGTGCTGGTTGGCCGGACGATGGTTCCAGGAGGGCTTCAAGGGGCGCTGCTGGAGACTCTCGACGAGAGCACACAGGTGAGTGCCATTGCAGAAATCCGTCGCCCAATCCGCCACCTATGAAAGGATCAAATTAATGGAATTAATGTGATTTTCCAGCCACAGAAGGCGATCTCTGTGCCTTTGTGCAACGTTCTTTCGCAATTCTCTTGCCATTGACTCAAAAGTTAGCTGCAAATTATGCAATCTGGGCTGATTGTTCTGCATTCGCACGACACTCACCCTCATTCCCGTGTCCCTGAGGTGCTCATTGACCCAGTTCTTGAACGTGTTGGCCTGGATCTCCACCCAGAGGTCCTCGTTGCCGCGGATGTTCATCCCCTTGGCGGCCGTGCCCTCGGGACTCCTGGCCACCAGGCCGGCCTGCGTGATCTTCTGTATCTCTGTGGTGCCATCGGGATTGTGCTGCAGCACGCCTTTGTGCGTGATTTTCACATTCTTCATATCAAGCTTGTCCATCGCGATGGACGCTCAGTGTCCTTTCACTGCTTCTCAAAACTGATTGTTTTCGCGTTGTCCTCTCACGGTAACGCCATGATTTCATTCACTTTCCACTGCACAGCTGAGCATGAAAAATTGAATATAGTGGGCAAAATGAGTGTGGAGGCAAAAAATGTAAATAGAAAATCCATTGTGGTCTGTGTTATCAGTGCGCTTGGGGAAAAAGTGTCATGAACCGTCGAGTCGCAAGTTATTGATTAGTTTTGTGTGCAGAAAATAATTTCACTGCACTTTGGTCACGCTTTTGCAGTGGGATTTTGCCTGTGTGGCGGGAATTGCAAGTTAAGATGCAGCTTCTTGGACAACAGCTGTGCTGATTATTGTCACACTTGAGGTGAGGACAATTAACAGTGCTCCCACATGACGGAGCACATTGAAAATCGGTGTCACAGAGAGTGAATTGGCTATTATTGATAGAAAACGCGCGCGCGGTGGCTTCATTGTTGGTCGACATGGGAGATAAACTTCCCAAAACAAGAGAGATATTGAGCAGTTCACCTCGTCGTGTGGCCATAGAGTGCATGAAAAAGGCAGGGTGATATATGAAAAATTCATTTTAGCACTAACACTCTCGATAAATTATGTGGGAATTGCTCAATTTGTTATTCTCATCGCCATAGAGCGCAACAATGGCTCAAACTTGATCGGACTATTTCGCACTGAGTCGAAAAAAATTCACTGTGTGCCCAGAAATTGCGCTTGTAAGATGATTCTGCGGTGTTTATTTTGATACGCCAGCCTATTATTCAACATCCGTGCCACCCAAAATGTACAAAATGTGCCACATAAGAGTCAACCTTGCTGATTGTTGACTCGCTTTTTTCTGCCTCTCTCGCGCGGAGACTTCTCGTGGGAGTCGCTGGCAATTATATTAATAATAATGACTGAATACCTCACGACTCCAGTCAAAAATTCATACTCTCTCACTGTATTGGTTTGGCAGGGATGGAAGAGTGAATGAATCACATTCAGGGCTTTATATTGCTAATCGCGTCCCACGGAGAACAGCACTAATCACGCGATTTCATGCAGAATCCGATGTACAGATCAGATAAAGGCGATTAATTGCTGAATGATTGGAAGGAGAAGTCAAAAGACCCGCGCGCGCATGATTGATTCAAAATCGCAGGAAATGGGCATGTCTCTTAAGTTAAGAGACGCGAGGTCAGAGCTTTTCTGGCCCAGCTAGAATAGGACAGAATGAAATAGGTCATCGAATAGGAGCGTCTGATCGACAGATGCCAATTTGTGACAAGCACGTGAAGCCTTCGACATGATTGCTTCTTGTAATTTATGGGAATTCCTCGCGAGTTTTCATTGAAGACAGCATGAAATGCACTTGCACAATCTTTCGCTCATAAAAACTGTTTTATGATTTTCTTTTAGCAAATTGCTAAATTAGGTGGCAAACAAATGAATTCAATTTTGCATTATTACCATAAAAATAAAGCTTCTTTCTCGCGGTTTCTTGGAATTTTTCTTTCTTTCTTCTTCTTCTGTCCCAAAACACCCAATTCAAAGACGCGCCTTTCTAACATTTCAAACAAAACACCGAGTAAAATGTTGAGAAAACACGGCATTTTCGGCGATTGTCATCTTCCTGAATTTCAAAGTATCCACTTTAGAGTGACAGAAGACACGTTTTGGTTGCTTTCCTCCTTCACGCGGAAGGTGAGTTTATCGAGATAAATGTGATTTTCACTCAAAAGTGGGAGTCGCGCTGACTTTATGACTTCCTCAGGCAATTGAGCAATGTAATTGGGCTGAGTAATCCAGATATTCTCGGAAATTGAGCAAATGCTGGCGCGCGCGGAAACCTTGAGCATCTGTTGCATGGGTCCATGAAAATTGTCACTTCTTGTTGGTCTGTTGACCCTCGATGTACTTGTAAATTTATCCACTTCAATTAACATTTTCGTGAGCCCAAATACAAAGCGCATTTTCATACGCGAACGCGCTTCACGGCAAGTGAAAAAAAATGGTGTTGACCTTCAGGCGTGCCATGTTGGAATGATAATGTAGAAGCGTTGACATCATGACCAAGTTTAGAGTCGATTCTCACACTGGATCATCTTACAAGTACACAATAGTCCGCGAGGGGCGCAGAGTGTCATGATGCTCAAGAGCTTGGCTATATTTGGTTGATTTCCCACTCCTAGGAAAGCGCCACACACAGTCAATATGGCACCACCCAGAGAGAGTTTCTATTGATCAAGATGAGCGGTTTCTGGGTGAAAATTACCATCGCGCGCGCGATGCAACAACTCTCACTCTCGATGGTATTTCGGGTGGCGCGCGGTGTTGCAAGCACACACTTAGCACACTGACCACGGGCGGGTGGCCAAGAGATGTCTGCGGATGTGGGCTTTTTGATGGAGTGCGTAGAGATGGAATGCCAGAGGTTTCCATCTTGCGATCACACCCAAATCACTTGTTGGACATGAGCGAAAATCCATACGCAGATTAGGCGCGATGCTAATAAACGCCCAGCGCGATTATATAACATTGCCACACTCACACGAAAGCACCGCAGCGACATTCCCAGATGCGACACCTTTTCCCCACGGACGCTCGCACGGGCACGATTTCCCAGCTCCGGAGCTGACACTTGCCCTCCACACCTGAGGACACGCCGCCCAGGCCGTCGGATTGCACTTTGCAGAACCCACCGAGCTGTGCACGGAGTTATGGAAGCGTGCAAGAGACTCGCGTCAGAGTGTGTGTGTGTGTGTTTTGGGGAGTCAGTGCAGCACGTAAGCGGCTCACCTGTTTCACTCGATCGACTGGAGGTAACTGAAAGGCAAGGCGAGTCACGATGGCGAGGCGACCCGCGATCGCGACTCAAGAAAGCGTCGTCGCGGAGGCAAAGTGGTCGCGAGTGGGGCCGCCGACGAAGCGGCGAATGTGGCGACTCACCTTTTTTCGCAGTGTTCCAGCCGAGAGGCCAATTAAGCCCATGATGCTTCTCAGAATAGCCGAATGGCCACTTGATCCCACTTCTTCACGCAGAGATACAACAAAAGGTCGTGCGAAAAGTTGCGGACCCATTTTGGCTGCAGATTTGCTGGCGATGCTGCAGCTTATGCTCAAAGAAGTCAGCGGATAATTGACCTCATTTGATGCAAAAGAGCGTCACTAAACATTTTCAGATATTTATTTCGCTTGTAATTCCGTAAAATGTAAACAAAATATTGTTCAGCGCAGAAAATTCAATCTGAGACCCAAGTGTCCTTGCTAAGCAGCCTTATCCAGTGATAAATAAGTTTTTAGAGGCTTTTTTCTTCAATCCATCGGAATTTAAAATTCCCGCTTCCTGAACAAAATGTGTCTGATGATTTTTGCTCACTACGATTTTCTGCGAAATCTAGAAAATTTGGATTATAAATTCATCTCCAGTGTGGCGAATTGTTAATCTACGGAAATTAGCTCCACTAGTTGATCTCCTGTGTTGATTTCCCGTGTGCAAAGTCAGGGTGAAGTGCAATCCAGCTGGAGAACTTTTCTCGCATCATATCTTGGGTAAACTGCAAGTTTGAGAGATGCTCTGGAGTGAGTCATGCAATCCATGACAACATTCACATCACTGCTCCACAGTCAATATTTGTCTCCTCTCCATGAATTTGCAACTGTGGACAATGCGAAGAGTCTGAGAGTTGCACTGCAAAAACCGTGTTCCCGCCAGAAAAACCATAAACGTCCACGTAATTTACTTGCGGCGAGGCGTAGTAAATTGAATCTATTGAACCTTGAGCGAGTAAACATTTTTTTCTGACTCGCGCTTTTCGTTGGTGGACAATTTGCAGAAGCCCACACTCGTGCCGCTCAATGGAATGCTCTAGAAAATGTACCGAGAGCAGCATGAAAACGGAAATAATTGCTCAGAGGCGCCAAATGGTGTGATTTCGAGCGTCTCTACAAATTAATTGCTGTTCAATTGCTGCTCTGCGTCAAGTGATGAGATTATGAGGCTCTTATGGTCAAGATATTGTGGGTCCTTGAAGAGACGCCCGCAATGTCTCACGATGACCTGCGGCTTCTCTTAAGTTAAGACGAGGGGAAAAAATAAAAGATTGCGCACTTAAAACCATGAACTGTCTGCCTTTTCTCCTATATTTCATAGAAATTACAGTAAATTCTGGTATTGAAAACGTAGTTTATATTAACAAATATCATGTAAGTTTTAACTTGATTTTAAAGTAAATTTCTTTATCAATTCAATGAATTTTTCTTTGCTTCTTCGTCACCAATATTCTTTCCTTTTCCAAATAACACCTCCGCGCCTGGAAAGTGAGCGTCTGAGGATTGAATCCTCTGACAAACACTTTTCCATCATCATTTCTAAAGTCAAGATATTTACTCTCAAAAATTACTATGTACACGAATAAAGTTGTCACTCTTGGTTTGGCGTTAAATTTAAGGATATTTTCTCTCGATTTCCCAAAAAATTCACACTTTTCATGGGAATTTTCTTTTAATTCTCCCATGCTTTTTTTTAGGTAAATTTATTCTTGGTAATTCGATAATTAAATTTCATCTGCAGATTATTCTTTGTCAGTTTAATTACATTATTCATTTATTATACATAAAATAGTTCTAGATTTAATTCAATTAATGGTAATAATTTTCTCCTCACCCTCAATGCAATAATTTTAAGTATCAAACTTCTTTTTGGCAGTATTATTCTTTTTGGAATTATTTCATCTCCCTCTCCTTCTGTTTGATAAAGACCTCACTATTACCGCGCATTTAATATTTTAAAAATTTACAAATTGTAAATTTAAATTGTCACACATTTTCCACATCATGTTCCATAGCTCTTTTCCTATTTTCCCGCTTTTCTTCTTCTCCATTGATGATTTGAAAATTCATCTAAATTCAACAAAGGTGGACTTTGTTTTGCAACAGTTGTTATTCTTCTTCTCGAATTTGTGTGTCTCTTCGATCTCTTCCTGCTAATGCTAATGCGGAATGATGAATTGGAATATTTATTTATTAAGTAGACTTTACAATGTGAGAAAGAAAAGAATTGATATTGTGAGTGTGGTTATTCTCATGACATCGCTACAGAAGTTGCATATGGTTTACCATCGGTTTTGGAAAAGGTTTGTGAGCTTATTGAAACTGTGATGACAAAACAATAAGATTATGAATATTTATTCTGAATAAATTCTATGTCACATCCTTTTCGCATTTTCCATTTTATTTGTCCGATTTCAATACTTCTTTATTGTGTACTTTTTTTTGGATATTTTCACTTTTTCTCTATATTATTTTATGTAACCGTTTTTGGTCCCGTTTTTTTGGTAACTCGGGGAATTCATACTCAAGAATTTATTCCTCTTTCACGCTGTGCATTTTGGCTGTTTTGTCGAAGGGAGATGCGCACAACTAAATGCTCGAAATATTCACAGTGTCGTCTCTTTGTTGGTTAAGATAAGCAAGGTAAAAGTGGATGAAAAATCATACTGAAGAGGTGAAATTACAATTTTTTTCTGTCGAGAGGATGTAGATTAAAAGTGCTTCATATTTACACTCTCTATCAAATTCCAAAAATGACTCTTATGTAGCACATTTTCCACAGGCATATAATAAGTGAAATGGCAACTCGTTTCGCGCGAGTCGGTCAAATTGAAATACACATTTTATCTAAAAATTTATCATTCAACCACCAATTTGTCAATCTATAAATGGAATTTGTTAAATGGCAGTGAGAGAGGCGTGGCGACGGAGGCTCAATGAGTTCAATTAATTGTATAATTATTGCCCAATTTCCCCGATGAGCGATGTTTTCCATCGAAATTAGGCACAATTATTTTTTAAATAAATTGCTGTTGCTCACATTCCACTGAATTTTCCCTCGCGCGCCACATTTTACCTAATTCATGGCCTAAATTCCTACTCAGTGTTGCTTTAGAATCACTCTTTGGGGCTAGTTTCAAACTGATTTATCGCAAACAATGGCACTGTGACGCTACATAGACCGTGTAGATTGTGAATATTGTGGTGAAAATGGGAAATTGTGACTCTCAACTTGTATATTTTAATACCTATAACGGAAACTATCTACAGATTTATTCCTCTTTCTATTCAGTAACACCGAAAATCTCTGCCAACAAAGAAGTCTTTGTACTTTGCTAAGCACAGGAGGTCTTCATTTTCCAGGCAGTGCCGCTCAGAAGACGCATTCAGTATTTTATATATTTATAATACATATTGTGCCACCCCGGAAAAACCATACTGGAAACTCATTTCTGAGGGGTGGAAAATTTGCATGTGTCAAGAGAAAATTCGCCCATTTCACATATATTCTTTTCAATTGGATTTTATGAGCTGTCAACGTCAAATGTAATCCACTTGACCCTCTGGCAATGCGTGCAACATTGATTAATGGAATCCCATCCTAAGTGATCTTCTAAAACCACTGCTCTTGTTTTTCTCCGCAACAATTCTTCCACTCTTCTGGCTAACACAAAGTTCTTTAGGCAATTGGTTCTATGTACACTTTTTCCCCGTCCACAAAATCTCTCGAGCTAAATCTCTTCGATCTATCGAATCACAAATATTCGGCATAACGACAATACTTCTCTTATGTATTTTTTTGTCTTCTAAAATCTCTTGCTATATACAATTTTCTCTGCGGAAAATTTCACAGAGCTTTCCCGCAAATATATACTTATTATTTTGATATATATCCTTTCACATGACATGATGGCGCAACACAAGGAGGTTCTTAATTGATGAATTTGCCTTGAGAAGCACAGAGTGTGAGCAAACTTATTTCACTTTTCGGAAAATTGTAGCTGTGCGGAGTTTTTAAATTAATAGTTTTATTTCACGAATTCACTCAACTCCCTCTCCATGTTCTTCATTGTATGAAACCATATATGCAAGAATGTAATTTTCCTGTTTAACCTCTTCAGCGTTCTTTCACTGCCACACAGACTGTCTTCCAGTGTCCTCAAGGAATCTCGGTAAAGCTTTATATTTTCATTGAATTTCTCCACTCATTCTTCACATGGCTTTGTCCCTATTTGTTATATTTATATAATATATATTCATGGCAGAAAAAAAGAAACAATTCTATGGAGAGCAGTGCAAATCTACACTGCGAATTGCTGTCTGAGAAATTTAATATGCAATATATTTTACCCGTTTTATGTCATTAGATTCTCTTTTAGTAACTTTCAACTATCTCAACTACAATCGTTTACTATGAATGTCACAATATTGTTTTTTTTCGCCTAAAATCGTCCTCCAAATTGATTTAATCGAGAATACCTAATGTATATCATTATGTAACTATATAGTTGTTGTAATTTTGTTGGAGAAATCACGACAATATATCTAAGACTTTTCATACACAATGAATTCACTGTTTTTTTCATTATTCTCTCTACATTCATTAGAATATGTTCTAAAGACTCCATTTGTATTTACACATAAAGTTTCCATATTTTGGAACAAATACAGAATTCCACTTCCTATGTACAATTGCACGTGAGTGCGCGTGGTTCTCCTCGGAGTTGAAATGTTTAGGGAAAGAAAGAGAGCTGCCCAAACACGTCAGTAGCCACCATCTCAACAGCCAGGCTCGTCTTGCAGCGCAACGGATTCTCCAGACTCCCGCACGGTGTCCTTAAGACATGCAGGTGACATACCTCGCAACCTGTTGGGGCAGCGCGCCCCCGTGTTATATGATACTCTCGCGGTTCCGCTCAATCTCCTCTGCCTCGTTCTCCTGATCGATGCTGGACGCCGACGATGCGCCGCAGATCTGCATCTCAATCTCAGCCAGGCGGTGCTCCAAGTCCCATTGTTGCTGCGAAAGCTTCGAGTTCAGCGCTGCGTTTTCCGCCTCCACCGTGTGCAGACGCTCCCGGAGTCGCTTCACCTCGTCCTCCAGCACCTCGTGAGAGCCCAGGAGAGGCGTGGCTCCAGATGACTCCAGGTGAGTCAGGCTTCCGCATTGCGTTCCTGCAGAGAAGAGTGAACGATCAGCGAAGGAGAAATGTCTTAACAAATTCATAAATCGTAGGAACTCGTCTGAAAGCGCTATTAAAAGATATGGAAATATGACAGTTGCTTTAAAGCTTTAAATTATCTTTAACAACAGTCGCTGCAGTAAAAAATCCTTGATTTGCCAACACCCTGCAATGATCCCTTACTTTGTTGCGAGTGAGTCCTGGAATGCGATGACGCGGCGCGGCTGCGCGGTCTTCCTTCGAGGCTGGGCGCGCTGGGGCTCAGCGATCCTGGTGACTCCAGCAATCGGGATCGATCTGTGCTTGGCTCACCGCGATGCGATCTCGGACTCGGCGCACGACTGCAGAAGAGGCAAGAAAAGAGATTCATATCAAGTGCCACCAGGCGCCTCCACTGCTCTCTCTCTCTCGCTCTTTCTCAGTTTTAAAGTTTCGCCCAGAGAAGTGTACAAATTAATTTTCTTTGGAATTCCAACATTCATTTAATCACGAAGAAGAATGGATGAGTAAATTCTGTCAACAACTAAATTTAGCATTGTTGGGGAGATTTATGAGCTGATGATACAGTTGGCTTTCTCTCGCTGAGGCCTTCACAATGGTCCAACATTCCGGGCACTTTATGAGGGAATTTCCAACTACGAAATGAGAGCTTTATAGTTTAAATATTGTAAATTTTCATAAACACTCTGCGTAAACCCTTTATGCTCGAGCATTCCTTGCAAATCTCACCCTCATTCGAAAGAGGGTACCAACTTTTCGCCATAAATCCAACGCACTCGCTCGTGAAAACTTCAAAACTTGGCTTTTTCATTATATTATTCAACACTGTCTCTATATAGTGTCCGTGTAAATGGCACTTGTGCTCACTCGTGGAGCACCACCGAGAGAATATTTTCCTGCATTGCTCTCTCGATGCAGTCGAGGGTGGTTTTGGGGGGTGGCAGAAAAAAAAGCTGGATTACCTGAACGTCGATGCTTGACTATACGCCGGAGCCGGAAGCGCAGGTGTTAACCACATTTCCTCAATTGGCGTCCTTCCGCGCGTCTCGACTAAACCTGGAGTAGATTGACAGCGACCCATGGCCACTAGAATTTATAAATGCTTTGAATTGAACAGTGCGGAGGAATGGGGGTGGGAAGAAACGTCTCATGGAGCTTCTGAGGTGGAAAAACAAACAGTCGGAACCATTTGACAGCACAAAAGGAATCTTCGGCTACAAAAACTCCCTGTCATGAGATGATGGGAAAATGTTACACACAACAAATACAATCACTCCACACACAAGAGCAACACACTTTTTTCACACATTGCAAATGGAACTGTAATTAAAATCCCAGGGAGTGCATATCTGCTCATGTCCTGTGACTTGTGCACTTCCCGAAACTATGAAAATGGTTTACACAGTGTGCCAAACAGAAAAAAAGACTACAATGAGTGTGTGATGCAAACGGAAAGAGATGAGACTTTTGGTTGAGCAAACTGCAGAAGCTCACCTTTCTCCAGCGGGGCTTTCTTGTACTTCTCCAGACGCTTCACTGCGATCGCCTCGAGGCGCACTCTCGCCGCCGGATATTCCTTGAGAACGTCCCACATGTCCTTCTTGCTCAGCACAAACAAATCACTATACCCAACAGATCTAACACTTGCCGTCCGTCGATTTCCTGGGTGGAAAAAGATGGAACTTTCACTTATGACTTCTCCCGCATCCGACATCCTTCTTCCGCCGCCTCCGCGAGGCGGTCACAGCCACGAAGAGGCGGAAAATGTGGAAGAAAAATAACATTGTCGACCTTTTGCGGCTCATTGACGAGAAAAAATATTTATAGTGAATTGATTTCTTATTCTGCGAGACATGAAATTCGTCGGCAAGAACCTTTTCCGCAAATTGGACATAGACAAAGGGAGGAAGAATTTAATGTGTATCAGGTGAGCGTTTTTCCTTCACATTTTCCGGCTCTTCATTTTTGTCCATTTCCTCATGTTGAAGGACTTGAAGAACGATTAAGGAGGGGAAATCAAAGGAAAGTTCGTAATGAAATATTCAACAGTGTGTCTCAGGCTTGATGTATTGAATATTTGGGATTTTAAGCAGTAATATTTCTCTTCCGCCAAGTGAAATTTCCCTGAATAGAAATATTAATGCTAAATATTCAATACCATATTTGTCATTCTTGATCTGTAAAATCAAGACACCTCTCGGCCTAGACACCCTGTCAGCGTAATTATTAATTTTTCTTCTACGAAATTTAATGAGATTCTTCCGAGCAAATAAACTGCTTTGCAATTAAATAGAAAGACAGGATAATCTGATGTCATCCACTTGCATAACATGCGGAAATAATTAAATGCATTTCGATATGAAAATGATAAAGTGAAAAAAAGGTAATCTGCATTCAAGTGGATCAAGTCTCTGGCAATTAAAAAGTCTGGGAGACCGCAAGAGTGTTCTTAATATTCTCTCAAATAAAATAAAACACCACCACACGACAAAGAGGAAAGAGGAGCTAAAAATGGGAAGTATAAATGCTTGGAGACTCTCTACAGACAAAAAGGAGGACAAATTAAGTGAAAAGATTGTGATTATACTTCGTTATATGGCCAGGCAAAGCAATATTTCTTTCCAGATTATTCAATAAGTTCATCATAATCTTCAGACGCATATTCAAGACACGCAAGTGTGTAAATTGGGAGGAAAAGTATTACATGAAATGAAATCAAAGGAGCACAATATTCTGAGAAAAATCGTACATTGTGAGATGCTTCAAAATGCAGCAAATTGAAGAGGTATTGATAATCAAAGGTATAAAGAAAAGAAACATTTCTTTATGTTCTACAAGACGGATTTGTCATGGTTCTAATTAGTGTCTTCATGTGTATGCTTTTTTTCGTTTTGTTTTTTTTTCACTTCTTCTGGTGAATATTTCCATCTATTGTTAATCTTACCTGACATGTCACTGACTTCATGGCTAAAATCTTTGACGTTGTGGCACAATTGGGGAAAGATAGTAGATAAATGGGCTCCTTTTGCTGTCGAAGAGCATCGCAATTTGGCATGGAGTTTTCGAAGGAAAAGTATTTATGGCAAGGCAGAAATTTATAGAAAAGTTAAATTAGATTTTTTTCACACCCTGCGTAAACAGATAAATTTTCCGTTGACACTTTTATTGTTTGGACATTCCGCCCATTCCAGTGCCGTCGCCTTTCCTTCCGGATTTGTCAATCCACATGCGACTCTCAACCACCCTTTTTCTCCACAACACGAGCATATGACTTACGATCCTCGCACAATATTCAGTGCGCGCGTCCTAATGGAAAATCATCGTGACTTCTGCCCTTCACGAAAGAACCCTCAAAGTGCAGTAAAAAGGGCAACAAAAATAAACACGTTAATGCTTAAAAATATAAACCATGTCTCTGAATTCATGTATCATAATAGTATTTCACTCGGAAAATTCATTTATGGCCACACCATTATCCATTATACATGAAATTGCTGAGGGACCAAAAAATTTCACAACTTGTGAAAATTCCCTCCCAACACTTTCCCACCCCTTCAACCCTTTTTGCCGTCAACTCAGCGGCGTTCCACTCATCGCAAGTGTGTCAAAATGGCACAACAACTCATCTTGCAATTTAAGTCAAATTACTGGACAAGAATGTGAATTATGTCAGAACGCATTTCCTCGGAATTTCCCCCTTATCTCGACTTTCTCACTCTCTATAGTTTATTTAACTCTCGAAATATTTCAATAATGCGTATTGCAGTATTAGTGAAACATGAACGAAATGCAGTGAAACGTGTTTCACATTATACAGTCAATCGAGCATACGCTGTGCAGCAAACTGATCGCTATTTGCAAACTATACGTATAAGTCGATACTTTTGATATTTATTCGCATTTTTTCCTCCTCGAGCAATATATTTGCCGAGAAATCGCATTTGAAAATGGAAGAGTTTGTGTATAATAATAGAGGTAATTCTCGTGAGAATTTATTTCTCTGTTAAAGTATCACGAACTTTTGAGCTTGCGACTTTGCCGAATAGCATTTCTCGCATGTCTGTGAAAAAAGGGGTGCTCTGAAAATGCTTTTTTTCTCTGATTTTTTTCACCTTTCCTCTATCACAACTTGTTCAATTGTTACGACACTTTTCACCCCCTGTCATTCCACCCCTTCTTATCGGAGACGAAGAAAGGGGGGCAAAATTGCGAGGAAATGCTACACTTTTCCTAATGTCGTCCTATTGTGCTGCTGGGAAATTTATTCGAAAGTGTTGTCATGGAAGGGCAACCAAAAAGTCAACATTTGTGCAGGAGTCGGTGCTAATCTACGGGGCAGGGGGACATTCTTCGCTAAAGGTTTTGTATTGCTTTAAGAGGATGACAGTGGCAGGAATCGCCCTTGAAAATCGATGGTGTGTAAATGCTTTTGATTATCTCTTGATTGACTTGCGAATTTCCTTGTCTTTTCACAGACGAATCCTTGCACGCGGGAAAACAGAAGGGTTTTTTGCGTATCATTCCACGTTCAAGAGAGGATGATTAGAAAGAGAGAGAGGCATCCAAGGTAGAGTGTTTTTGGTATCATCTGTTGTCATTGTGTTTATACTGAACAAAGGCGGAGAAACATTATGCATGTCATATCGCCAAGCAAAGCTTACAACCAGGACACTTATTAGAACTCTCAAGACTGCATATATAGTTCATCTTGGCAGGGCATCTTTGGATGTCAATCAAAAATTCGGCAATCGCATAGGTTGAGAAAAACTGTATAGATTTTTACGTTACGTTTCTTTTGCGTGAGAATATTGTCCGCCTGGCAGTGATATTTACCCAATTCTTTACCTGCTGTCCCCATATTAAGGATGCTTATTTCACCAAAGTACGAGCCCGCCTTGAGCGATGCCATCACGGTTTTGCCATTGTCCGCCACCACTTGAAGGCGTCCCCGGTTCACGATGTACATCTCCTTGCCGACCTCGCCTTTTATCCCGCATAAGACAAAAAAAGAAACGCCATCATGAGTTTCCAACAATCACAAACTCGCCCAAATCCAACTTTCACATTTCACCCCCGCCAGGAAAAGCCCTCGAGGCTTCGGGAAATGGCAGAAAGAATCTCAATAGAGCAGAAATTGATTATTGCAGCTTAAGTGTTATGTGTCTTTTATTGGCTCATCCATTGAGACTTTCACTGCCAATTTCGCCATGCGGGAAATGGAAAAACTTTTCCCATGTGTGTGAGTGTGTGTGTGCTGACCAAAAAGGGACGATGGAGAGAAAAAAAATTAATTTGCGCCTCACCTTTGCGACATATGTAATCTCCTGGCGAAAAGAGAACCGGTCGTAAACGTAGCACCAATTCACAAAGGAAGCCGGCCTCGGTGTTCTGGAAGATTTCGACTCGCTTAAGTGTATCTAAATGGACGTTTATAGCGATTTCAGCCTGCGGGAACACAAGAGACAACAGAAACAGCATTATTGGGATGCTCAGCACACATTTGCTTCACGCTGAAACACTGAATTTAGCGGTAATTGCACTCAGTCGAATAATTACTCCTCATAGACGATAAGGAATCAAGAAAAGCTTTGTGCAAAAATTCAACTTTGTTCGCTCAGGAAAAGAAGTTTGCTTCGCAACATCGGAACCTTTTCTCTTCATTCCGACAATGTTTCTGTTTCGACGATGATTCTTTAATTTTACAATTAATTATGGCACTCTGAGAAAATCAATATTTCACCAAATTAACTTTAACTTTGTACATGACAAATATCAATAATTTAGTCGTGTTTGTCGTGTGCAATCTAATAATCACATTGAAGTAAATTAATAAACAATTTTCCCATTATCTCGCTAATTTTCCATTGATTTTGTAAATGTTCTCCGTACGCGCAAAATATTACAACGCGCTGCTTTTATTATCAGTAAAATCATTGGAATTTGTTATATCCACAATAACAAACATGGGAAAACATAAATTGGGGAATAAATTCAGCCAATTTGGTAAAATTACTTTTTGCAAACTTTTTCTCTTTCTCTCATATTTCCACATTGCGATGCCAGAGAAGAGAGAAACTGACAGAACACACAGAAGGTAAAGAAATTGTCTTGCGGATGACCAAGGATTTTTATTTCCGTGAGATGAGTGCAAAAACATTTAATGCGAAATTGAATAATTCACATTATAGCGATATAATGGCGAATTTATTCTCCGCGAAGCCATGAGAAAGAGTTTCCCACAGGAAAATTCATCTTAGAGATGGGGAAATAAATTTTCCATGCAGTAAAATAATTAGCTGCACTGAGGGTGCTTTCGCTGATGTAAAGTGGAAAAATAATTTCTCATTTTTCCTGATTCATCTCGCACACAATTTTCTGTCCTGGAAAGAGCTTTCTTCTTCTCGCCGACGCTAGTTTATATTGCGGAAACAGATTTAATGTGAAAATAAGAGTATGAAAGAATTGTTTATTCCACAATACTGAAATTCGTTTACTTGTACAGCGATAAAGTTACGAAAAAAAACATCAAATGTGCACTTTTCCGTAAAATAAACACCGCGTGTGGCATGAAATTCGTCAGTTTGGTAATTTTTCAATACACCTGATATTTTTTGTATGCAATTATTGCAAATTATTGTGCATGTAGCACAAACAGAACAATGCAACAGAGTAAATGGTAAAAAATATTTACGATTTTAAATTGAAATCTGCAACAGTTCCGGAAGCAATGTAATTACATTTTCACTGGGTTTTTCTCTTAATTTGCAGAGTTGGAAGGCCTTTCCTTTTTCCCCAGTCAAAATCATTCCACTGTGTGGATGTCGAAGGGAAATGGAACAGCCAAGCCATTGTAGCTTCAACATGAAGCAAGGAATCACAGAATCTACGTGCAGATTAAAACGTGAAATTTCATTTCCCCGCCCGCAGAATATTCGGTGCGAAGTGTGAAAGTTAAATGTAAGATTCTCCCACGGCGCGTTGTGTGATGACAAAGTGCCGAGTTGCCATTTCACCCATGGGAATCATCTTCATGCCTAATACGTACCTTTAATTTATCAGGAAGACACGATACAGCTCGTTCCTCATCGGAGCACTTCTGCGTCAGCCAGAGATAGTCAAACCACTTAATGACTTTTACTTGGAGATGATTTGGGACTCGTCTCATCCGCATGTAAGTTTTCACACCATCCAATTTGGCTGGGGACAGGAAAATTGAATTTTAATATGAATCTTGAGGGAAGGTGTGTGCTAAATCAACTAAAACGTTAATCGTATCTAATTTGCAGGGGAATGCCATTATCCATACCACATGGAACACCTTCAATCCAATTCCCTATCCAATTGCCTGTGAGTATGTGGACGAAAAGATGGACAAATTGTAGGCCAGCGGCAAATTGGTCTCCATTCACGCCCAAATTGCGCCCATGTTGGGCAATTTAATAAAATCACACGTTGACCTGTGGCGTAATTCGTCCCAGAATATTAACTACGGCAAACTAATTAACATGCCCATATTCATGCTCTTAGGTAAGGCGCAGAGCAATGCCTTGAGACGGAACTTGCCTTTCAATTAGACACACATTACAAATTCATATCCACCCTTCTGCACTCCGCCCTGCACCTGCACCCTTGCATTCAATGCACGATGACACTTTCAATCTGCAGTCCGTAGTCGATGTGACTCAATTTAATCAACCAATTTCACTCTCGTCTCCTTTCTCCGCACACTTATTGTCATATTGCATTTTAATGAATCACAATGGGATAAACATGTTAAATTCCCTTTACTCAGATCAACGTGCATTTGGTAAATATGTTCACTGCTGGAGAGACTCTTTGATGAAGTTTTCAGTGCACATCCATATGCTGAAGCCGCAATTTGTTGAAAAGTTCCCCACTAAGCGCCACTATACTTCAAAGTGTGAGTAATCCGTTTAATTATGATTTGTGTCTCGATTTGTGTTAAACTTTCACTACCTCTATTATTATTATGAATTTCTATATGCGACGTCAAACAGCAAAGTGTGAATAAGTCTGACAGGTGTTTGCCTGAGTACTTCAACTGTTCCTATCCAACTCTTTCATCGCTCGTCAGCGGCGTAGGCTGAGTTGGGAGAATAGTTGTGTTTCCAGTACTTTCTGTAGACTGGTGCTTTTCCACATACTTTTATTCCGAGGTTGAATAAGAGAGAGATCAGGAATCCTTGCAAGTAAGCACAAATAACATCTCATATACTACGTCCTTTGCATGATATGCTTTCTTAAGTCCAGAAAATCCTTTTATGAAATCGATCTTCCAGTCTTTGACCCCTTTCGTCGCACACAATCACCAAGGTCAGAGCTTTCGACAAGCTTTCAGCGTCTCTTAAGGCGAAAAGAAATGGCAAAGATGAAGCTTCGTGAATATTTAAAATTTTTAATAAATTGTTTTAGGCTCGAGATGAGGAGAAAGTGAGGGTGGCGAAAGTGAATCTTTTGTGTGTCAAATCTCTTTGTGTCTGTCTACCCCTTGCGGAGCCCGAGCGGCAGACGAGGAGTAAGAGTGGAAGACAAAGAGAAGTGAGAGCTTTCAGTCCTATTGAGCTTCTTCACACGAAGTTGCCATTTGATGGAGTTGTAAAAGTTTTATCATTGTCAGCGGGTGAGTGTGCGATGAAACTTAGAAACAGAGTAAACACATTTTAAATAATTTGCAACAATTTGACCAAAAAAGCTCAATAGGGGATACACAAAAGTGGTAAACTTGCAAGTTTCTCTCTTCTGTATATTGCAAAACAATTTTCAGCAAATATTGCCCCGCAAAGTTTTTCCCCTCCCTGCAATTCTCCCTCATCAATTTTACTTTGTAACGCAAAGTGTGGAGTGAATTGATATAATGCCATGTTCATGCTGAGTCCACATATACACGCTCTCCATTTCGGTGGGGGCGAAAAAAGTTCATTCACCACCCGGAGTTGATGCCAAACTAACTTTGGCGAAATGCTCTCCAATTGTCACGACAGCCAGTGTCATTTGGAAGCTCGCTGTGAAACTTTGTATTGGATTCAAAACAGTATGGAATTTAATTTGAGCATTATCTCACTGTAGCCATCAATTGAAATGGTAATTAAAGAAATATCCTTCATGCCCCCAATTTCCCAATGTATACACACACACCGCCAAAACCCACCCCCAAATCCAATTCAGCGGGGGTGCGAATTGAAAATTCAGTTCACACACTACGAGTTGAAATTATTTTTCCTCAATGCTTTTCCTTTTCTCACATTTCGCCTTCACGCCGCGCCCATAAAATTATTTATAGCTCAATAATTGTGCTAATCAAAAATTCTCAGAGAAATCTCTCGTGTGATGTGCCTAAAAGAAGAAATACAGCCACATAAAAAGGATGAGAAAAAGCGGGCAATTTAAATGATTCACGTGGTTCTTGCGGGCGGTGCTTTTATTGAAAAACAACCACCGAGAGGAGGGTATCAATGGCAAAACAACACGGGAAAATGCACTTCCCCATCGATTCTGGCAATTCATAATTGATTGCTTGTATCAGAAGTGAATCTGTGAAAAGCCAGGGAGCATTCTTTGCATATAAATAATAATGAGTATTTTGCTGAAAAGTTAATGGCAGTGGAAAATACCACACATTTTCCGGAGAGTGCGTTGCGAACAAAAAAAAATCATCACGTCGACAATTTTCTGAAAAATTTTCACTGCAATAACCATGGAAAATAAAGAGATATTGTGCAAATTATTGAGTCAGTTTAGCCTGGAACATGTATGAAAAGTTTTTCAATTCACATTGAGACACAAGAGAAATGGGTGGAAAAATGCGAGAAGAGGGAAAAATTGCAGAAACACATCTCAAATATTCCTTTTGACAATTTTCCACCAGAGCTTTCTTTCTCTGTTCTTGCAAGGAATATATAGAGAACAATGGCCATCATTGAGACTTGCATTCAAAATGAGAAATTACAGAGGCGAAACGAGAGTCATTTAGCAATGAATGGTATGGAGAGAAAACCAGAAGCACCATCGAGTGCCATGAATATGAGGATGGGTGGATTTTCGTGTCTTGAATTAATGTCACTCTGTGCTGTAGTTAAAATTTCGCTGGACTATCTTCTTATTTTGATAAATGCCCAACAAGAGGCGGGCGGAGAAGGAAAAACATGCACAGCTCATAATATCCATCATTCACGCTAAATTGTGCACATTTCTTCTTGTCCTCTGTGGAGGAGGGCAAAAAAGCTCTTCATGAAATTTTATTCATCAACTCAATTGATATTGTTCTTGGGAGGGTGAAACTTTTCATGGGACTTGTCGTGGTGTTTTGTCGCAAAAAGGCCAACATTCACTCAATGTGGAAGTCAATAAAATTATTCAGTGACACAATCCTCGAGTGGTGAGAGCCATCGGAAATCAGAGCTTTCATGGCAACTTGTCTCAACTTTTGCCCTCGTCCAGAGAAGAAAAAAAACTCCGTGGCTTCAATTGCCAATTGGACGACGCAAGTTTCTTTTCCTCTCGATTCATCTCTAGCAGCTCCAAATGTTTGTGCTTTTTAAAGCTTCAGCTGTACATTATCTGAAAGTGAGTAAACATCCGCTGCCTGCATAAGTTAATTTCAATTTGCTTTTTCTACAGGGCACTGAATAAACTCAACACATGAAACCATGTAACCTTGTTAAATATTGTTGTTTAAAAATAATTAAAATGGGATGAAAAGTTTCTCTCACGAAAGATGAAAAGTTCCCCGTGAATGTCGGTGAAGTGGGGATAAACTTGTCTAGCATAGTTAAGCATAATCCATAGTTCATGCAGTTCACTGTAATTATTCCCGACACACACACACACACACACACACAAAAGCCTGCTCTCACGAAAGTTGCAGCAAAAGCTCAGTATCATCAGTGCACTGTCTGCAAAATATATTTTCGCAAGAACTCATGTTTAAATAATTGAATATTAACATGTTAGGTTCTTGTAATATTACTTTGTCTACTGGGAAAACTCGCAAGGAAGCGGATGAGCATAAATATTTTCTCATTCGTGCAATTGATTGACGATGGGTTGAATTAACATGTTATATAATTAATGGGAGAGAGACTCCGTCCGACATATAATTAAATTAAGTGAAATGGGAAAATTAACTTATGTATATGGTGAAACTTTCCCGGATACACTTTTGAAAGTGGATTGGATTTATGTACAACATGTGACAAATTCTAAAGTTTCATTTAGTGGGCTTCCCAGAGTAGTGCGCGCGTGGAATGAGGGGCGGGCGTGAGACAATCTGTAAATGTATACATTTGGTTTTGAGCAACTTTTCACCCATTGTTCAAGTTGGATTGTGCCCTCCGCAATTGACTTTCTCTCTCTCTTGCGCCCAAGTTTGAGGGATTTTCTAAGCAAATTTGCCACCCAGACTTTTTTTTTCTCATTCTCTTCACCATCAGTGGCATCATGAATGGGAAATGAGTCTGTGTTTGCCTCCCTTGTGAAACACACACAAACACGGAATTGGTCTAATTTCTAAATAATATTTGTTCAAAAGTACTCAGTGAGTTTCCATTGCGATTTTCCTCTCTAGAAAAAATGCGTGCAGAGGAATCATTATAGATGGCGAATGGAGGAAAAAAGTTATTTACTTAGGACATGTTGACAAGGTAGTTAAACTGCGATGTATCGTGCAATTCACAACACGAAAGAGAGAGAGTGAGAGAGAGAGTCAATTTAATCGAAATTTTTCACATTCCCTGATTTCCACATGACATCTTCCAATTTCTCTCACCATTCCCAAGATTATCACCCATCGGAATTTGCCTCCCGTCTTATTTCCTTCTCCTCCAGCGAAAGTCTGCGGAGACGTCTTAAAGGGGATTTGCAAGGAATTTTATCGCAAGCGCGAGGATTGAAATCAATGGAGAATCTCTCACTGTTTGCGATCTTGACATTAGCAATCACACGGAAGAGCAAAATGCTGTATCAATATCTAAAGAGGGATGAATTGATGCTGGCTGAAAGATCCCTTTGCGGAATACCACCAAGTCATATCGCAAAAGTTAATCCGATGGAAGGATTCTTCAAAAACAATGCTCAAATACACTCTATTTTGTGCCCATTTGAAGACACTCTTCCCGCACTGACAGAGGAAGATTTGCCGCTTCCACCAACTTTGCAGATAAAGCTAGAGAAGTTTTTAGTTGGGATGTAAACAGTGTGCATTAGGTATACATAGAGATGTTTGTTAATATGGAAAGAGGTAAATAAGCTCGATTTATATCGGTGCTACTTAAATACACAATTCCTTGTCACTCTGAAGGAAAAAAAGCACACACGGTAAACCCGAGTCTAGCAATATCAGCAATTAAAATTCTCCGCGAACCGCTATAAGGTACAATAAATGCGTTTTTGCAGCTCGTTATGAAACGCTACGGAAAAGCTCTCTCTCTCTCTCTCTCTCTCTCTCGCGCGCATAAACATTTATTCACCTCGTCTGATCTCTCTTTGCTGTCGAAATCAATCGCAAACAGGAATTTGCGTTTTGTTTCAGGAAAAAGTTTGGAAGTCCAATGCGAAAGCTCTTTGTGCATTTCGACCGATATGTATAGGTTTTCGAGGCAAACATTGATGAAAAAAAAGGCTTTTGCATCTGTGAGCTTTTGTTGATGTTTTCCCGCCAGCGCGTTGTTTTCTTCCCATCTCTCATAATTCATAAAATTTCTGACACTCGAAAAATGCCGTATATGTATGTATATATTGGGGGAAAATAACCGCCAATGCGTGGGAAGAGAGATTTTATGGCTCGCGCGAAGAGGGTGGAAATTTATCGAGCATAATAGAGTAGATTTTTGAGTGTGTGTTGTCACAAAACTGGTCACATCGCGCTCCAATTCTTGCCTCCAATCCCGGACTTTTTCCTCTGTGGAGGATTTTCCGTTGACGGCATATTCGTGACGAAATGGAAATCGCAGAGTTTTGACGAGGGAATTGGCGTCGCTGGGCGGAATATCGGGAATTAATACATCACCGACTGATGCAATTTCAACTGTGGGACTTCGCGCAGCCGACGTGAACAGCATTGGTAATTGAGCCTGGGCGAGAGAGCCTCAAGCACTCTCGAGAGCTTCCCCAAGTCATGAAATTTCGGGAAGCTCTGGCGGAGGAGCGAATTAAGCAAGACTGCGCTAAATATAGCCTCGTCAGAATGCTATCGACCGCTCCTATGCGACAACGAGTGCTATTTTTAGAACAAAGTGGGGAAAGTGGGTTATGCCCTCCCCATCGGGAGATGCTGCCCTCGTTTCCAGCTTCCACAGTGTGTGTGCTCTCTATTTTTATACACGTACATAGGGGTAGGTTGCGTCATCATTTTTGTTCCAGAATATTTGTATAAACTTGCCCCATGAATCTCATGGCACAATGCCGTGGCATCGGCGACACAAAGAAAGCCATTTACCGCCCCTCTTTCGGGGTGTGAGACGTCAGGAATTTTATATTCTGCACCTCAGCCTTGACTTCCGCAACCCTCAAAGCCATTCGCCCAGAATTTCGCCCCCCGTCGAGGCGTCCGAATGAAAGTGTCCATGATTTTTCGCCGTATCAATTGTCCCACAATCACACCCTCGATTTCAATTAACTCCCAAACAACACAGCGAGGCAATTTTGATATGGGTTTGCTGCTGAATGCAAGACAAATGGACACAGTGAGTGAGTTTAACAAGCACGTGAAGAACTTTAGACGCGAAAGACTAAAGTTTCCCAGATCACGTTTGAACGATACAAGAGGTCAGCACAAATGGGGAAGATTTATTGAGTTGAATGACGGGAAAAAGGCTGAAGTTCATGAACAAAAACATCCGAATTTATAAGCTCTTTTTCAACATAATTTAACCGAACTGTTCTTAATAGACTCACCACTTTTTACACTAATTTCATAGACCATTTTGGCTGATATTTCACATAATTTATATATTAGATTCGACTTATAGACCAAAAAGTCTCTTTTTTGTGCTTTGAATTTATTCATCACAGCAACACGAGAGCCGAAATGGAAAAATGTATTCTATTTAGAGAGATTTCTTTTTTATTAAAAATTAATATAAATATTTGAACAAATCTCCTCAAATTTGAGTGGATTTTCGCCCCACTTTTGTGGCGCCGCGCTTCCAGCAAAAATGCTTGAGGAATATTTGGTGAGGCACACTGTGAAGAAGGCAAAAGGTGGAATGCAAGACAAAAGGGCGACGAGAATGATAAAAAATGATATATTCTGCGAAACGTCGCGCTCAAGTTGACATATTAGGAACCTTTGATGTTATCCTCTAATAGAAAGTATCTACTTTCACAATAATGTGAGATATTAGAATAATTTCATTCTCCCTTATTGCATCATTTATCATACGGAAAAAAGGGGGAGCGCTTTACCCGCAGACATGAGCTTTGAGAGAAATTGTGCGAGGTGCACTCAAGTATTATTTCAAGCTCCTGTCTGTTTGCCATGAGTCTATTCATTATCCTTCGCACTGTAGCGTGCGCCATATGGTGCTCGTGAGCATCTTTTTGCCAACTGCTAATGACTACTCGTTAGGCCTTCCATCTTGTCCACAGCTTTTTACGCCACTCTCTCTCTCATGGCAATGACCAATTGCGAAATTAGTATTTTTACCACGTTCGCCGCCTCGGGCGCACTTTTCATACTCAGTCCGGACGTAGGTGCTTCGTCAAAGGCAGACACACTGGTGGGAAATTAGGGAAAATTGGCGGTGTCGCAGAGATTCAGCGCGGCGTTGAAGGTGTTTGTGGTTTGTGCACTAAAGTCCCTTAACTCTCCAAACTTCATAGCTAGAGTGCCAAAAACTGTAGACAAATTACAACTTTTTAGACATAATCAACTCTTGCGTTTGATGAGTTTTGAGAACACAAGGAAGCAGATATATGTGACAGTCGGATGCTTTTGGCACTCTTCCTCGCTGCGCGACTATTACTATGTTTTGTGGCAATTGAGGTGGTGTTACTCACCCTGAAACTCCTTCCTGGCGGCGCTCACGGACGTCACAATGTTGGCCACATGGCCCAACACGGTGGCGAAGAGCATCAACCCGAAGAGCAGCTGAACGATGACGAACACATACTCCGCCTTGGAGCGCGGTCTTGGCAAATCGCCAATGGTCGTGAGTGCCAGCGTGCACCAGTAGTAACTCTGCAGATACTGCTTCACCACGTCCGCCGACTCCGAGTCGTGGTACACCCAGTTCTTGGAGCCGAAGCCGTTGTTCTTGTAGATGATGTGGTAGAGGCATCCGTTCCAGTGGAATATCACGAGCAAGTAGTGGATGAGCGAGGTGGAGCGAAAGAGATTGGGATAGTTGGTGTGGCGCTCCGTGCGATCCATGAACGCCCAGAAGCGGTAGATCTTCACCAGGCGGAATGATCGCAGAATCGAGTTGAATCCGATCGATAAGTATAAAAAATCTAACGGCAATAAACAAAGGCAATCGATATAAAATGTCGTTGAGTTCATGTAGTGCTGGCGCAGCTTCGTCGAGTCCGTCTGCAGGACGCCGTCCTCCAGGTATCCCGTGCGGAAGTGGAACAGTATGTCGATTAGGTATAAAAAATCGGAGAAGTAGTCCAGGCAGAACCACACCACGATGGACTCCACGTTGATCTCCTGGAAGGCGAAGCGGTAGATGATGACCCAGAAGTTGTACAGGAACGCCATGGACACCACCATTGACCAGTAGTAGCACAGTCGCCCGGCCGGATCGAACACGAACGTCCACTTGCCGCTGGGGCGCGCACGAGAGGCGCCCGAAGACGAGCATCCCGATCTCCGTGCCGACCTGCAATGCCAATTAATTATCATCACTTGCGGCGGCCCAGGCAAGGTGTGTGCCTGTGCAATTTGCCTGAGGTTTCGCCTCCCGCACAGACACACAGCAATGATGGGTCTTAATCAAGATGTACACCCTTTGGCAAACATCTAAGCTGTCTCATTGACACATGGCGCACAACATAGCGAGCTCGACTTGTTTGCATTGAAGACACAATGGAGGAAACTCAATATTGATTCCTCAAATTTTCATCCCATAATCCCACAGTCTGGAAACCTCATTTCCCCCCTTTTCGGCCCACTCTACCGCCCTTTGATTAAACATCTGAGCGCCGTGCTCGATTCTCACCTGCAAATCGCCCTGTTTTGCGATTAAGATGAGAATCTTCGTGTTGTTTGGAATGTGATTCCAAGCATTCAGACAGCTTGATTGAAATTATAAATAGGTTGAATAGGGTTTTACAATTCGCTCTAGATATAATTCTTGAGTTAAACTGACAGTTAATGGCCAGAAAATCAATAATCTAATTAGAGTCTTACACTTGAAGGAGCCGGACAGTGTCAAATCAGAATCTCCATATCAGTGTGGGCGGGGCATCGCCAGGGGTGGGATCAATGCTCACCTGTCAGCGCCATTGCATCCGTTGCCGCTGTTGTTGAGGTGATTGCTGGACATGGTGCCTATCGTGTTGGCGTTGCTGCACCGCGTCCCGGTGCGATTCCACGAGCTGAGCAGCGGCTGCTCCGCCTGTTTCAGTCGGCCGCGCTCCTTTCGCTGTGTCTTCCTGGACAGGTCCATCTCCGACGCCGTGGCCGAGACATGCGAGTGCGGGGTTCGGGTGACAACACACGGTGCTGATAAACTATCTCGCGATGTGGAGAAGAAACCCTGCTGCGATATACTCTGACCCAGTTGCGGTCTAGACATGCCAAACTTGGAGCTCACAATATCTGCGCGGCGATTTATGGATGAGCGCGCGTGGGGAGAGAAAGAAACCATAGAGGAATAAATAAAATCATTCCAGTTAACTTACATTCAAGATAGGGTGACAATTTTGAAAGTTTTTCGCATTCACAGCAGATTTTCGCTCGCTCTGTCTCTGTTATCGCATCATAATTCAATGTCCGACTGTCTTAGAAAGCGGGACATTTTGATTGCGATAGCAGGGAAATTTATGAAATAGTCACTGTTGTAGTTATTTTTTTGTTATTGTCAAGACATGTTGCCTTTTTTTTCAATTTGCATACAGTGATTTCCTTCGGTTTTATCCGCGCTGTTGTTGATCTTTTCCAGAATTGTCACCCCAGATTTGCATTTGGTGTGAGGGAAAGGAAGATTCAACACGGTCACTTTTATCTAAGATCACACAGGGAAAGTGTTGGTCTCGTCTGTCAGCCAGGGATTGGCGAAAAGGGTGTACATAACATTTTTCTCGACAAAGAAACACATTCAATATGATGAGCACAACATAATGGATGCTCTGCAGTGGAATTGGCTGTCAATGTTGGTACTTTGGGTGTCGGAAGTGTTCTCTGAGGTCTGCTTTCTACTTGACCGCGCGCGCGTTTTGTCAATGGCATGAGGAGAACTTTGCGAGGTCGCAACTCAAGAATTCTGAGTTCATATTATCGCTAGGAAGTGCTCTCAATTGCCACTCTTTTTTCTGCTTTCTACCATGGACAACAGCACGCAAACAATAAAGGCGAAGAGAGGAGAAAAGTATCACAACTCTACGATGGATGGATGCGAGGTGGAATGGGTGATTAAAGTGAAATAAAAATAACATGGCGCTGCGCCATCATCGCTATAACACATGATCACGGAAGAGATTGAGGGGTGAGCTCAGCGCTATGTACAGGATGAACAGCTACAATGCGTGATGCAACTAATGAGTCGACACAATGTTTTTTTTCTCTAATGTCTTACCCACGAGACTCTGGCGACTCAGGGAGTTGCGCCCGGCCATGTAGTGGGCGCCGAGGAGTGGCGAAGGATTGTTCGCCAGCTCCGCCGTCGCGAGGACATCGAGCTCGAGCGGCCTGGATTGCGGCGTCGCCAGGGCACCATTGAGGGAAAGTCGCTGCCGGCCCATCGGGCCGCAGATGTCAATGTCGTCATTGCCGCCGATCACGAGGCGGCCCCACGGCGACGCCTCGGCGGCTTGCGACAGACTTTGGGATGGTGGATGATTCACATCATCAGCACCTACATATAACACAACAACATGATTTTAGACACCCAGCCAATAGCTCAAGGGACACAAGCACACACATGTCGGAGTTGATGAGGCGCGCTCGTCAGGCTTCTGGATGAGGATGAAGATGACACACTTTCACGGATGCGACAGCGAGTGTTTAGTGACATTGCGAGGAAGCCAAATGTTTGAGGGCAATGAATGGCAAACGAAACATTGCGTATATTTAAGATGTTGCAAGATTAAATGGTGATTTTGGGCAGATTTCAGTGGTTTATAAACTTCTGAACAGTTTCAAATTATTCTTTCAAAGTGATTTTTTTGCTTTATCTATCTTGACTTGAATTTTTAAGAAGTCTTCACAGTTCTTTTTTCATCGCCCATACAATTATACATTCCCTAACAAATCTCACAAACTTCATACTCGCCAAGAGAAAGTGTAAAAGCTAATCTCCCATCTACAAAACATCCTCTCGCAACACGATTACCTTTGCAAACCATGTTAGGATACGTGAAATTTCGAAATGATCCATCAACCTCGCTTCAGCAGCGCGAATTAGTGATGCTCACGTATGTATGAGAAATGCAAATACCGCAATGACTGCGCGCGAATCGATTTTGCCAAAGCTCGCGGACTAACGCAGTAATTTTGGCTGTAAAATATGCGTCATAAATAAATTTGTGTATCCTCCGAAAAGCAAATTTCTCAGCATTTGGCCAAACACCTCAAATCACGTTGGGCAATAACAACGTCAAACGCAAAACTCTTGCAATTGGATTGAAAACCAACCGAGAGGACTTTGCTTTGCGCCAAAATAGGTAACGCGCGAATGTACTTAACGCAAAGTTGTTTTTATTGGCTTTTTCCCACCCATAATTGAATTCACCCCGTGAGACATGATGAGCCCTCTTTCACTTTTGATAAATGCAATTATAATTTGACCCTGTTTATTAATTAATTAACCTATCGTGGCAAACATGCAGGTGTACTTTTTCCATCAGTGTGTAAATCGAAAAAGCGTATTTTCGGTGTGAAAAATGCCTCTTATGGTGTGGCATTTTTGCCGCTGTGTTGATGGTGCAAAAGAGGGCAAAATGAATCAATATCGGTGGGATTAGGAGGGATTTTCCAATTTCATGACACATTTTTTCGCTCTTGCATTCAATTTGTCCTGGGATTCCAGCTACGAAAATCCCTCTTCAATTTGGCGCCCACTTAAAGTGCCGTCAACTGAGGCGGATTTAAATCAGCTGTGGCGTCTTCTGAGGGACTTTTTCACGCCGCCTGGCAAAAATAATCCCCCTGGTATTTTTGCGCTCACCCACAAATTGACCTGTGTAGTTGTAATTGAAAAGCGCGGCCTCACTCAATCCCTCGCCAAATCACTTTTCGCATTAATGAAGCCAAAATATACGGGCGCTGGAATTGGTGATTAAGCGAGTGGAAATGGAAATCGATAAAGTGAATTTAAATTCGCGAAATTACCCCCATAAATCAGAAGAGTCGCTATAAATTCCAAAATATTCAACTACTCAATAACCAAATTTTTGCACTCACCACAAAATGAAGTGCATTGCAATCCTTCAGGGTAACTTGAAAGTCATGGCATTGTGAGCTTTTTAATGCTGAGTAAAGCTCATCCACTATTGTTCGCTGTGCTTTATTGCACACAATGCGCATTGTGGACAAATAGCAAGCAATACTAAGCATTTAAAATTGAGTTCTATAGTAATTACTGTATACATTTGAACTAGCATGATGAAGAGTAATTTTGTAATAATCTTTTCCTCGTCTTTATTCCATGCTTTTCGACCCTCGTTCGATTCCCAGGTCGGTCATAAGAAGGAGGCCTCATTGTCTTGAGACAATGGCAATAACCATTTCCACACTTTGTCTGTTATTGTGGTCATTGAGAGGATTCAAAAATCCTGCTCGGCAGGTGCTCATTTCCACCTGAGCAGCCCAATTTCCATCCTCAACGACTCCCTCAAGCTTTGCCACTTCCCAAGCCGCTCGTGCGATATGTCTTGGGCCCACATCAAGAGCCACAATTAAATAGAATGTTCATGAGAATAAAAATTGATATGGCCACAGTGTGGATGGCACTGTGGATGATCCGCAGAGCACAAAAGCCCTCCATTCCATGCGAGACATCACTACACACATTGGCATCTATGCATTAAATAGAGTCACAAAGTTAATGGTGAATTTTATGTGGAAACTTTAACGGCCCCACATTTGCCTCTCGTGAGACGCCCTTCGCCGCCCTTCGGCAAACTACAGTTGCAGATCTAATTTGCAGCAATTGCCTTCAAGACAGACACCATTTCTCGCCTTCCATTCCGATCGGATGCCCAATTGACGGCATTTGCATTTGCCTTGCACACACTCAAGTGGCGAGATGGACTTGAGTAAGTGGTTAAATTTGCATAGGGAATTAATTTAATTGAACTTCCAATAATGATTGCACTGTGCGATATGGGATGAGGTGAAAGCCAACCCCTTGAAGTGCAATAAAAATGTATAGCAAATTACCCAATTGAGGCAATTCCTATCCAATGATGGATTTATGTTGACAATTATATTTTTATGCTTGAGGCACACACGCATCATTATTTTCTATGCGTTGTTCCCACCATTTGGCGTGGGGTGTGCACATAGGCAAGTCAAATAAATTATTTATGTATGTGGAGGCTGACGTACAAGAGTATTTAACCCATAAAAAGGCGATCCCGCTCGCCATGTGGATATTTTTGTGCGCGGCGTCAAACGAAAATTGATAGCATTTTCCACACCCACACATTCACTTGCATGGCGCACATGAGACAATTTTTGCTGATTAAATTTATTTAATTGTCATGTCATCGTCTCCTGTCATCAATTTTAATGAAAAATGAGTGGCAACATATCTGAGTGGTGATATGAATTTGTCCCACATTCGTATACCACATGGATAGCGATGGCTCTTCGTTATCTCTGCCAGCGCACACCCCCTCAGTGACATGGCGTTACCAGCTGCACCGGCTGTCCAGGACGGGATGCCACGCTGCACTCTTCCGAATCCCTTCTGCGAGAGTCCCTGGAAGCTCTGCCCACTTCATTTCCGCGCTCATTCTAACAGCGTCTCGGTAAAAAATCAGGCAATGAATTGCGCCCGGTCCTGGACAAACCGTGCTGCTCATCCCTTGATAACCCAGCCATATCGCTTCGTATTAGTTTGAGCTACAACGAGCTGGAGCGCCCATTGTGTAATTCTAGCTGACCAAAAAACAGTTCCGCACAGAAAACTCTCCCCAAGGATTTAATTAGCTAAAAAAAGCTCAGTATGTGCAGCAGGTTAATGAAATCAAAAGATTATAATCTGGTGTGCACAAAAGACCAATCTCACATTCATACAGCGCACATCGCACTGAATTGCACGTCTGCTGACGTCTGATCCTTCGGACATTCTGCCATTGTGTGTGTGCACTTTAGATCAAATTCCTTTGACCAAGTTATTGTGGATATTTGTGGAATCATCTCGCCCTTTCGGTGCGCTCTAATGAAATTTCTCAATACCACGTTTGAAGAGAATTGTCAAGTCAAAGGACGACAGAGCGGCGTCTTGGCTTTTAACTCAAAAATCCTCTTACAAAAGAGATTCGTGCTCTTTGTCAACTGAACTATGATGCATACAAAAGTAGTTGAATCTAAATTAAAAGTTTTGGGCTGGAGATTAATCTTTTGAAATAGGAATGCTTTTGATAATTCGAGTAAATTTATTCCAATTGAAGCGTTTAGTTGAAAATAAATGCCGTATAGATATTTTACCTGTTCTAATTACACCGTTTGTAAATGATCCTGGTAAATGAATTTGCTAGAAATTACAAGCTCAAAATTCATACCATTTCAGAGAGAGAGAGAGAGAGAGAGAGAGAATGTCGAACTTCATATCGAATTTCACTTGGCATTCTTTATCAAATATTTAGGTGACTACACACGACCACTTTTCAGTCCTTATTCCATACACCATCAAACCACACTTCAATTGCGGAGTTTCGACAGGATTTCTAGATGAGGAGGCAAAATTACAAGATCTGACTGTTGTAAAATCCTCAACATGTTTCTCGGTTACGTTTGAGAAATCTCAAGAAGATATCAATGTGGGCAGGATTTCCAGGTTGTTTCCTTCAATCATTCGAGAGGAGTCAAATAATTCACCTTTATCAGATTTATCGTGACACATCTTAAGCATGGTGGTAAAAGTTGTCCTTGTTCACCAGCGACTCTGCAAGAACACCTCACAAATTATATTATTCTAATGAGCGGCACGAGTAGAACAATCTCGTTAATAGTCCAATTTTCGTGTGATAAATGGACGTGTAGTCTGATAAAGGTGACCCACAGTAATTGAGAACCCCTTTTAATCCGCTTAATACACAATAATTTATAGTTAATTAGAAAAAAATATTTCTCACGGGAAATGACACTGGATGGGTTAGACATTGAGCCCTTTTGCAGCACATCTATTTTTAACCCCGTTTGAGAATACAATAGCACACCCATCACTTGGTGGGGTGGCGCCTTCCGTGCGTGGATGGTAATTTCTCTGTATCTCTCTCGCAATCTCTCACTCGTATTTTTAGCTCTTGGGCTCTCCTGGGAAATGCGGCACGGCTGTAAGGCTGTGTGATGCGTAAATAAAAACATTCCGCGTATCGCATGATCGCTAGAAATTCTCCAGCAACATCTTCAAAATCATATTTTTCCATTCGCACCACCAACGAAGGATTGAATCTGCAAATACAC